TGAACGTGCATGCTGTCTGCAGGACGTCTAGAGCAGGAGGAGCACTGCTGATGATGCAAAACGCTATGATCACTCCTCTGAAACAGTTTATTAATGCACTAATTAACTTAAAATGTACAAAACTGCCAGTAGAATATGTTCGCTTTTATTATCCAGGTGCCTGCAGTTTGGATTACGTACCTGAAAACCACCTTCCAGCTGCCACGGCAAACCGGTAAACAGGAGGCGATCGGGCCAGAGGCTGCTGTTGAATGGGATTCCCAGTGACAGCGCACCGTCGGTGTACGGGGGTCTGAGCGGCTATGAAAGAAATAATATTTGAAGGCAGGATGGTAATCTGGATGAATTGACTGAACATATACGATATTTCCAGGTGGACTTTGTCACTTCAAAATAGATTCAAACTACTTTCTACCCAGCAAATATAGCTGCCATTGTTCCAGGCAAAGAAAGGATAGGGTAGCTCCGCCCAACATGCATCAGACCCACTTTTTTCACCACGCAGCTAGAGCAGCAACTGGGCTTTTGGTCGACTACAGCGCGTGACGGTATCCTGGACACAGGTGGCCCCGTGCTTCCCCGCCTGCCTTACCTGTCCCCGACCGGCGGCTCATGGCTCTCTGCTGAGGTCCGGTCCAATCAGCGGCCCCAGTAGTCGAACCCCCCCCAGGAAAAAAGTGTCCTCCTGTTCAGAAACCCAAATCAAATCTAGCCACCCTAGCCAAGATTCCTGAGTTGCGCATTAGAACTAAACTTGTACAAGCATCAAACATGAAGCATCACGTGCGTTTTTGCTGCTCTTGCTGCTTTAGGTGTGAACGTAGCATAACAGTGGCTAGCTTCCAGCGATGGCGTCCTGCACGAGCATCGGGGGGTCGATTCGCTCATGTGTCAGGGTACGAGCACAGGGGGGAGGGACAAGCAGACGACCATGATTGACGTGTCAGGAACCAGTCGTGTAGAACGGACAGTCTTTTGTGATTGATTCATTTCTCACTGTAGCGGGGAACATTTATTTTAGTTTCACTTCCTGACCTTCTATTTCAGTGCTTGCTACGCGGCTGTGGGGAGATCTTGCATCAAAAAAGATTTCCTACTGCACCTTTAAGAGGAATTGACATCCTGTTTCCAGAATGTTGTCAATATAAAATAAAATATTATGCATAATTTCTTAAATGTTCCTACTACAACAAATAAGCTGAGCCCAACTCCAACCCTCCCCAAACCATAAACCCTCCCCCAGGTGACCAGGCAGCAGGTCAATTCAATTCAACTCAGTTTATTTATGTAGATCCAATTAATAACATGTCATCTCAAGGCACTTTATTGAGACAATGCAGCCAGATCATCCACTCACATTGGTTCAAAGTTTTCTATCTAAAGAAAACAGTTTAATTGCATCATCAGTTTTATTGCAGGTGATGATCAGTCAGCTGCAGCCACACACGGCTGGATAGAGCATGACAATCTGAAACTTTCAACAAATGGCTGCAGCAGGAGCGTTCCTTAAAAAAAATAATTGTGAAATTTAACAGTCAAACTCAGTGGGCAGAACTAAAACCGACTTAATAGAAACCCTGACGTCTGATTGGCTGCTTCTCACTGAGAACGACAGCTGTCTCTTTCAAGAAAGTTTCATGATGAGTTTTATGCACAGATGACATGAAACAGAGAGAAATAATGACATTACCATCTAAATGAATTTATTAAACACCAAAAACTATTAATATAATGTAAATGGTATGTTAAATTATTCAAAGGCTAATTAGTTTTTTATATTTCATAAATTGATGGAACATTAAATTATTTCAATTCAGTTTATTTCTATAGCACCAATTCACATCATGTCATCTCAGGTCACTTTCCAGTTCACCAGATCATCCAGTCAGATCGATTCAAAGTTTTCTATCTAAGGAAAACCAGCTGATTGCATCGACTCATTGACTCTTCAGCAATCCCTCACACTAAGCATGCTTGTAGCGACAGTGGAGAGGAAAAACTCCCTTTGAACAGGAAGAAACCTCCAGCAGAACCAGGCTCAGTGTGAGCGGCCATCTGCTGAGGCCCACTGGGGTTCAAGGAGACAGAAGCAGACATAGAAAAAGAAGCATAGATACAAAAGGCAACTGTCAACCAGCTCCACAGGCGGCCCCGTCCAGGAAACACACAGCCAGGCAGACGAGCTCCGAGCCAGCTCCCATGTCAGAGGATGAAGAGAGCACATCCAGTTAGTCACAGTCAGAGAAACAGGACTACACTGGAAAACAGGCCAGGCTCCAATTTCTAGAAACAAAGGTGTTGATGGCAGCAGCACAGCTGATATTTCTCTCCAGGATGGAGTCACAGCCAAACAGGAACAGACCAGATGAAGCTACTATGATGAGGAAAAGCAGAGAGAGCAGAACATTAGAGATTGAACTAACAAATACTGCAGAATGGGAAAAAGAAGCCCAATTATTACCTCACCTGCAGAGGTAATAAATCATTTTAATATGTCATATTTGTTGGGAGAAAGATGAAAAAGGGGTCCCTATGTCCTCCAGCAGTCTAAGCCTATAGCAGCATAAATATAAAGATAGCTCAGGATAACCTGAGCCACTCTAACTAGAAGCTTTATCAAAAAGGAAAGTTTTAAGCCTGGGCTTAACCTATTAAAAATTCCACTGGTAACATTTTTACCAGCAGGTGGAGCCATTGCGCACAGCTCCAAGCTGAAACCAATAGTTCAAAGCCCCACAGCTCTGGAACTGTTATAACTAGAGGGCTGACATTTTCTGCATTTGTGCTTGACATGATGTAGAACAAATATAATATAATAAAACCTGCCTTTTCTCAAGAATGTCTTTATTATTGCTGTTAAAAAAAAAACATTTAATTTCCGAGAATAAAAACCCCAACTTTGAGTCATGTTTGAACTGATGCAGGTTGGTCTGTGTTCTAGTAACCCAATTTTAATGTATATATCAGGAAACTAGAGAGCTTTCAAATAATGTATTGCACATGTAATTTGGGCTTACAGTTCCTAAGTTATCTGCTATTCCATTTGGGTATGCAAAATAGGCGAGGATTATCCAAAATGAGGTGGATATTAAGAGGTTAAAAGTAGACAGGATGTCTTTAGAAGTTCTAGGAACCACTAGTAAACCTGCAGATTGAGAGCGAAGTGCTCTGTTAGGAACATAAGGAACAATCAGATCTCTGATATCAGATGGAGCTTGGCCATTTAAGGCTTTATATGTGAGAAGGAGGATTTTAAATTCTATTCTGGATTTAACAGGAAACCAATGAAGAGAAGCCAGGATAGGAGAGATATTATTCGTCAGAAAAATTCAAACCATTGATAGACAGCAGGTTTTAGAGTCCTCTATCTGCTAATAAGACTTTAAGCAAATTATTCAAATTCGTATTTCTGCTAAGCTCATCTCATCCTATTATGGTTGCTCTCCTCTGCTGAGCTGGAAGGATTTGAATAACTACAGCTTGATATCAATGTTATGTTGCTGGATAGAAACAGATTAAATTCTAACAAGGAAACTGAATTAAACCCAGTTACTGCTTTGGGAAAATGAATGTTCATGTTTTTGTTTTCTTTTCGCCAAACTTAAATGTTTTGAATCATTAAGCAAATTTTATGAGTGGATAAAAATAACTCAAGCAAAGAGAAAATAAAAAATTCTGAATGATAATTTCATCCATTAAAGGGAAAAAAACTATCCAAAGCAACGTGGCTTTCAGAGCTCAGCTTCAAGAACCAAAACGAAGCCCAGTTATTACCTCACCTGCAGATTAAATCATTTTAATTTGTCATATTTGTTGGAAGAAAGATATTATCTGTCTGAAAATGGTTGCAAAGCCTGTTTGTCATCGCCTTTTTGGAAACACAGGAAGGAGCAATCAGCTAAGTGAGCTTAGTGCTTGGAAAAAATCTTTCATTCCTTTAGAGACAGCATGAAAAGTCAGCTGAGTACAAAACATAGAGAGGAAAACAAGAAGAAAAGGGACAAGAAGAGAGGGACACAACCTAGAACAGATAATGGATGTCTATTCTATTAACATTTCTCTATCTGTAGAATGGGTCTGTTTTATGTGTTGTCTTCTCCATATAGAGGGGCCCCTGCCTGTCTTTGCCCAGGGCCCCGAATTTTCTAAATCTGCTCCTGATTATAAATCATTCAGTACCTTTTTTTTGTCTGCTAGTGTTGCTGTTAACGCTTAATTAGCTTGTTAGCAGCATCCAACCGTTGCCTTTACAAATTTTTCTCCCGAGTGGTGCACGACTTTACACGAATAAAGTGAATGTGATTGGTCGATTATCAAGGGGGCGGGACTGTTGTAGCGGAACGTTCAAAACCAAATTTGGTTGTGGTCGGTTTGTCGGAAGCATCTTGCTAACCAGTTAGCAACTTAGTGCTAGCAGGTTCCCAATGGGAAATTCCATTGGGACCAAGTAGCACTAAATTGGTGACTTAGAAACGACGCTGTCAAGGAACGCTATGGACAGCGGAAACATGCAAGAGGAGGAGAGTTTAGTGTCGGAGGTCGTGGATGAGTCTCCTCCGTCATCCATTTTTTATTTAGAGGAGGAAAGCGGGGACGAAGATGTTGTGGAAGAGGACGCCAGGGCGGCAGAAGCTTGGTTTGGTGTAGAAGGCTTCCAGCCGTACATGTTTGAGCCCTTGCCTCGCAACGCTGCCAGTTCTGTTAGCTCTACGCCTGCCGAAGACACAGACGTCCATCCCCGTGAACACTGGGACGGAACTCAATGGAAAAGGAAAGGATTCTGATTTTAACCGTTGCGTATATTAGCTGAGACATATGAATCAAGACGCTATGGCTGAAAATATTTGATTGACAGATGAGCGTTGATCTATGATTGGCCGAATTTAGGTGTTCAGGCTGACGTAGAACTAACTGGCCTGAATAAGATAACAGAAAAAAAACACAGATTTTAAAACAGGATTTTTTTTTAAATAGAATTTTTCTACATTTTGGGACAATATGGTCTGATAAAAATACATGTTTAAGCCAGAATGATTTGACATTTAATATGATTTCTCTTCGACTTTAAATGTTTTTGACCACCACTAGGGGGAGCTGTACTGTCCGTAGCTTCAATTAATTATTTATAACTGTTTAACTAGTTTAGGTTTTTATTCATTGAGTTTCTTTCTTTGTTTGTTTTCAGTTTTTTAATAAAGCTGTCTGATCAGCTCCTTCTCCACTTTGGTCTCCGGGTCTTCTGGTGGTTCCTGCGGCTTTCCTTCAGGTTTATCAGCCGCAGACAGCGTCTCCTTCTGGGCCCTCAGCAGGATGTCCTTCCTCTGGTGGTCCATGGCTTCGTACCGCCGCCTTTCCTCCTCCCTCTGCACTCCGGAGGGTCCGGTAAGGGGCCCAGAGGAGGTACCGAGCAGATGCCTACTGACCACGGGCAGGCTTTGGCGGGCGTCTGCAGACACCAACCGGGACTCAGGCAGCGGCAGCAGGGACAGGGAGCTCCAGAGCCGCCGGGCGTGGGACACATCCTCCGGGGAGCTGCCCTCAAACACGATGGACGGTTGGTTCAGCTGTCCTTCTCCATCACTCTGTAGCGCCATTTTAGCTTTCTGAAAATGTTCACAACTGTAAGTTGGTTACACTGGTCACCATGGAAACGGGGGGTGGGGGGGGGTGGGGGGTCTAACGTAAAAGCTGCTGAAACGGACGGGGATTAGGGCCACAAAAAAAAAAAAATGATTTTACTGATTTTTAAATTTTATTTCAGTATAATATGAGATTTTTCTCAATTTCTCAGAATTTTGACTTTTTTCCCCAAATTCTGACTTTTTTCTCAGAATTCTGACTTTTTTCTCAGAATTCGGATTTTTTTCCCTGAATTCTGACTTTTTTCTCCGAATTCGGACTTTTTTTTCCCCGAATTGTGAATTATTTCTCCGAATTCTGCCGTTTTTTCCCCCGAATTGTGAATTATTTCTCAGAATTCTGACTTTTTTTCCCCGAATTGTGAATTATTTCTCAGAATTCTGACTTTTTACCCTGAATTCTGACTTTTTTCTCAGAATTTTGACTTTTTTCCCCTGAATTCTGACTTTTTTCTCAGAATTCTGACTTTTTTCTCAGAATTCGGACTTTTTTCCCCTGAATTCTGACTTTTTTCTCAGAATTTTGACTTTTTTTCCCTGAATTCTGACTTTTTTCTCAGAATTCTGACTTTTTTCTCAGAATTCTGACTTTTTTCTCAGAATTTTGACTTTTTTTCCCTGAATTCTGACTTTTTTCTCAGAATTCGGACTTTTTTCTCAGAATTCGGACTTTTTTCTCAGAATTCGGACTTTTTTCCCCTGAATTCTGACTTTTTTCTCAGAATTCTGACTTTTTTCTCAGAATTTTGACTTTTTTTCCCTGAATTCTGACTTTTTTCTCAGAATTCGGACTTTTTTCTCAGAATTCGGACTTTTTTCTCAGAATTCGGACTTTTTTCCCCTGAATTCTGACTTTTTTCTCAGAATTCTGACTTTTTTCTCCGAATTCTGACTTTTTTTCCCCGAATTGTGAATTATTTCTCCGAATTCTGCCTTTTTTCCCCTCGAATTGTGAATTATTTCTCAGAATTCTGACTTTTTTTCCCCAAATTGTGAATTATTTCTCAGAAATCTGACTTTTTTCCCTGAATTCTGACTTTTTTCTCAGAATTTTGACTTTTTTTCCCTGAATTGTGAATTATTTCTCAGAAATCTGACTTTTTTCCCTGAATTCTGACTTTTTTCTCAGAATTTTGACTTTTTTTCCCTGAATTGTGAATTATTTCTCAGAATTCTGACTTTTTTCCCTGAATTCTGACTTTTTTCTCCGAATTCTGAACCTTTTTCCCCGTATTGTGAATTATTTCTCAGAATTCTGACTTTATTCCATGAATTCTGACTTTTTTCTCCGAATTCCGACCTTTTTCCCTGAATTGTAAATTATTTCTCAGAATTCTGACTTTTTTCTCAGAATTCTGACTTTAATCTCAGAATAGTGGATCTTAATGTAGAAGGGCACCATGAAGGCAGAGATGTGGAGCGCTCAGCTTCATTGATTAAGATGTGAGTTGTTGGCAGAAACAGGAACACATTGGTGGAAAATGGTGGAATTAGGCGACTCTTACATGCCTGAGGGTCCCTGCTGATGGTATTTCATTAATTGAAGAGCAGAAAGTGATTAAAACAAGAGAGCTAGACTCTAAAACAGACATGGCTACGGCTAAACATGCTAAGATGTTTGTTAGTTGTCAGAACTCAGTCAGACTTCTGAGAAAAAAGTCAGAATTATGACTTTTTTTTCATACTGAAATGAAATTTAAAAATCAGTTCACTTTTTTTTCTTTTTTTTTTTAGTGGCCCCAATCCTGTTCCGGTACAAATAAATGTTGGTAGGAATTAAATTATACAGTGAGACATAAATGTATAAATTTCTTTTTTAATTACCTTATTTATTTATTGTCCGTTATTTTTTTAAAGTATTTATTTATGTGCATGTTGTATTATTTTGTCTGTTTTGTTCTTCCTTTGTATTTTTTTACCCTATTTATTTCAAAATTCTGCAAATATGGTAAAGCTGGTCCTCCATAAATGTGTCCATAAATGATATAAGGGGGAATCTATAAGGGAATAATAAGTATCCCGTAGATAATAACAATTTATCCCCATTCTAAAATGCTCATAAACAATTATTTATGGCTTTATAACTGCTACATGTAATCCTCAGTCGTCACACTGACACAGCACTGGGACTTGATCAACAGCCGATACCGCACCGTGACTTCACAAACCAGTAGGTGGCAGTAGTGTTCTTTGACAAACATGGATGCCTCCAGTAAAGCACATTCACATGAACATGACTCTGAATTAAAAACACTGATCATTTATTGAACAGGATGGAATCATTTCAGATTTAAAGAACTTTCAGAAGTTTGCACTCTGATTGTGAACGTATTTTCTTTGTTTGTTTTTTTCAGTTTTTAGCTTGTTATGCAGAGCGATCAGATGCAAATTCAACCATTACAAAAAGTTTTATTCAATTAAACTAATCTAACGTTATCCAGTCCAGCTGGAGCGTTCAGTCATCATCAATTTGCATTAAAACTTTCCTGCATGAAGGAAACAGCAGAAACTATAGCAGCTAAATAATGTTTGACGTGTCAAGAACTTCAACAAAAGAAGATCAGCTGCTGAGAAGAAGACCTCTGAAGGGTCCTGGAGTCTCCTCCTGAGGAGGGTCCTGCAGATACCACCAGTGCAGAGCTTGTTTAACAGTCATAACACCGTTTAGTGCAAAAGGTAACATTCGGTGGATGGAATTAGAGGAAGAAACTGGAAATAAACTTTACTCCAAAATGTTTGGAAATAAAATCATGAAGTGGCAGAAATTCTCTGAAACTTTGCTTGACTTAAAAGTTTTTATTTTTGCTGACTGATGCTTTGCTCTGAGCAGGAGAAGCTGAATATGAGCAAATAAAAGCTCTTCATGGAGATCTGCCAACTGTTGAAAGAAGGCGGGTCGTGGCCCCACCCCAGGTGTCGCGCCGCGTTTTAAATAGAGAGGAGGAGGAAGAGCGACATCATCATCACAGGCAGCACTTCTTTCACCTGACATGATATCCTCATTTCTCTGGAGTTCAGCCAGCATCCTGCACTGAGGACTGAAGCACTGAGCAGTAAGTAAGATCAGCAGATTTCCTTCTTCCAGTCAGAATTAGAACAAATATCTGCTTCTATGCAGATGATGCAGCTCAGTTTGTGCTAAATGAAAAAGATGTGCAGTAATAGTTTATTTTTATGTAGTGTTTTACAGAGATAAATATTTTCTTTTAAGATTTGCACACAAATAACTAAAAAAGCACATATTTTCCTTTTGTAAAATTAGTATAAAAGCCAAAATCTGCCTTAAAGATGCGTCCTGCAGGTTTCTTGTTGCACGCCGAGGTGCTGCTGCCCGCCACACATGGGTACATCCTCTGACATGTCAACGTTTTGGTGTAAACGCTAAGCTTGGCTGGAGCGAGGAGCGGCTGAACCTTATAAGGTGAAATGCCAGCCAGGTTCTCCTCAGCATCCCAGTGTGGGCTATTAGGCTAGCAGGAGCAAAGGGTTAGCCAAACATGGGCATTCCAGCATGGCAGCTCTGCAGTTTGACTATGGGGGTTATCTGTGTGCTGCTTTTCATCTTTTATTACCTGCTGCTCAATGGGAGGTCAGAGGAGCCTTGTGACCTGCAGGAAGAGCTGCAGCTCAGGATAAGTCAGTAAGTAGCTGGATGCAAAGTGAGGGAAATGTGCTCAGGCTGTTATCAGCTCCCTGAAACTGGAGGCAAGTGGAGCTGAGATGCAAAAGCAGCAGCTTTGAGTCACGGATGGAGGAGAGAAGATCAGCCTTTAATCAAAGCTTGCATGTAATCAGGGTGAAGGTTTAAAGTCCGGATGGGGTTTTAGTTCTTAGCCATAAAGAAGAGGAACAGCCATCCTGGGATTAATATCCAACCTGAAGTTTTCTGTGTTATTTCTATATCCTGTCTGTGTTATTTTTTTCTAAATTAAAGAACCTGATGGATTAATGAGATTCAGTCACCAGCAGACCCCCAGATTTCCTTCATTTTCAGGTAAAACTCACATTTAGATCCTTTTTCTATTTGGATTCGGATCCATTCTGGATCATCTGGGACCCTGATTAAACCAAAGTTACTTCAATAACCTCCTATTAGAATATATCCGGAATCATAAAAGCAAATTGCCCTGCAGTAGTTTATATAAAAATGTGTTTTGCAAAGTGGGAAAAGACCAGTATAAAATAAGTCTATTAAAGTTTTATCCACAATCTGTTGGAGAAGAGAAACAGAGTTAGAGGTCAGGGTTTGTTTTCTGTCGGTTCCTCCGCCTCAGCAGATGGAAATTATTTTATAAACGTCTATAAAACTATGAAAAAATATATTATTTTGACTTTTTTTGCTGCTCAGACTGGATCCTGAAACCTCTTCATATACGACTATAATTAATACGTTTAGGTTATTAGAAGCTTTGTTCACATAGATTAATGTCACATAGATTGATGATTTTAAGCCTTTCTTTTCTAATTATCAGGATGAAACACTAATGAAACTCCAAATTCAAGGTTTAAACATAACAGACCAATAAAATCATTAAGTTAATCTAATCTAAAGGGGCTTTATGTAAAATGGAGATAAAAAAAAAAAAGTTCAGAGTGGCTTTTGACTAAATTATCTAAACATCAATATTATTGTTTTCAGTCCAACTTTCATTTAATTTTCTTTTTTTTTGGTATAATCATCTTATTTTAACTTATTTTACTAAAGACTAAGACTTGTTATATAACTGAGTTTAACAGCAATATTAGAATAGAGAATTGGTGGAAATACTAAGAGATATATATATATTTTTAATTACATAAATAAAGCCATAATATTGGGTCTATGACATTAAAGTAATAAAATTACAAGAATAAAGTTTTAATGTATTCTTAAAGTTTTAAGAATAAGGTCATGTTAGGAGAATACTGTGATATAAACATTTCCCCAGGCTTGATAAGATCAAAGCTTTCTTTTTATTAAAAAAAATCTTATCTTATAATATTACAACTTTATTTTTGTGATTTTAAAAAGTAACAGTTTGGCCTTAATATTCTGTAGTAGAGCCTATTTGAATAAATTGAGTAAATAATGTTAGACTGGAGAAATGTCTCAGGACCAGTTTGTAAAATTCAGGCTGAACTTTTTCTCAGTTTTTAGAAAATAGTAACAGATGGCGGCCATTTTTGTTATAAGATGTGTGCTAACACTCATCAGTACTTTGATCATGTGCTTTGAAATCTGGAGGCAACGTGTATGGATGTTTTTTTTTTTTTTTTTTTTATTAAACTGAAGGATTATTTGGAGAAAAAAAAAGGTTTCAAATTAAATGAGTAAAAAATGAAAATAAAATGTAAACATTTTGAAACAAGAGAAAACTACAGATTTGAAATGGAAAAGTACGGAAGCTCATTAGGGCCACTGAAAAAATAAAAAAAAAAGTTTACTGATTTTTAAAATATTATTTCAGTTTAATATGGGAAAAAATTCAGAATTTTGACTTTAATCTCAGAGTTGTGGATCTTAATGTAGATGGGCACCATGAAGGAAGAGATGTGGAGCGCTCAGCTTCACTGACAAAGAGCAACATATTCTCATTATCAGTTCGTATGAAATCGTATGAAAAGTTATGCACACTATTTCGTACGTTTTGGACGTTTTTCTTCAAAAAACCACATCAGTGCGCATGCGCTGGCAGACAGAAAAAAGAAAACAGATCCGCGGACGGACGTAAAACTGGGAAAAACAGTGCAATAATCACTTATTCATGTCTCTAACTACGTTGCTTGCTGTTTTATATCTTAGGTTTAGGGCTAATTGTAATTTATATTCTATGTTCTTGAATTGTGCGTAAGATGAGAGTGCGCATAAGAAGAAAAAAACGTCCAAAACGTACGAAATTACGGTGCATAACTTTTCGTACGATTTCATACGAACTCATAATGAGAATATGTTGCTAAGATAGGAGTAGTTTGGGAGGGCCAGTAACACATTATAGGAAAATGAGGGAATTAGGCGCTTTTTACGTGTCAGGCGGGTCCGCTGTGATGCTATTTCATTTATGGAAGAGCAGAAGGTGATTAAAAGCAGAGAGCTAGTCTCTAAAACAGACATGGCTACGGCTAAACATGCTAACATGTTTGTTAATTGTCAGAATTCTGAGATTAAAGGCAGAATTCTGACTTTTTTCTCATATGATACTGAAATAAATTTAAAAATCTGTTAGATTTTTTTTTATTTCCCAGTGACCCTAATCCTCCTGCGTAGACAAAGAAATCTAGTTTAAAACTAAAAGGTTTTTCAGTTTCAGACTGCTTGGTGTGAGGGGCGGGGCTTAGATGACATGGCACATGATGGCTACACATGCTCCCTGCTGATGCATTCAGGAACTGTGGGAAATAGAAACATCTTCAAAACATCATAGATATTCTATGGTAATGTGGTTGTTTTTTATATATTTTTTTTTACTGATCTAAATTGTTTATGTGAGAGCAGATACGAATGTGAGTGGGATGATAGTGACACATCTGTCCGGCATTTCCACTCTGCAAACCTTTAGATGACAGCAGCAGCCTGATCATGAGCTTAGATCAGTGAAGTAGCTTACTCTCAAATACAATAATAGGAACTCTGAGTATTGATAATTTTTTAAGCCGTTTAAAGTTCCCATGGTTCCTGCTGTCCAGCTGTCAGTCATTCCAAGCATGATGACATCTAAGCCCCACCCCCACGCTAGAGGCAGTTTAGATCAAAAATTTGTAACATAATAAAAATAGAACGTTGATGTTTTTCAGGTTTAAATTGTTTTCTATTGTTTCAAAATTGCTTTTCTATTCCAATTTGTTTTTTCTCTCTGTTTAAAAATAAATAATTTTTGACAAATTTGTTGGAGCTAAATTATCTCCATAAATGTTAAACTTCACATCATCAATTAATTATTTCCATTTGTCCATCTGGGGTTAACAGTTCAGCTAAGCTGCATTTAAAGTCAAACACATTTCTAACATCCAGAAATGGATTTGGAGGCTAAATTCATGCTCAAGTTCAATTTTTTTGAACATTTATGGAATACATTATTGCGCTGATTCAACCATCTGAGGCCAACTTCATGTGTTAAAGCAGGGGTGTCAAAGTCAAATGGACGGAGGGCCAAATAAAAAATTTAGCTAAAAGCCGAGGGCCGGAATGATCGAATGTTCATTAAAAAGATTTTAAATGACGCATATAGTCTAGTGAACCTAATTGAACCTACTGAAAACCTAACAAATATATTCCAAAATGATCAGATAAATAAAGCAATACTTTCTTATGGCTCTGTCAGTAATCTTTAATTTTCAACAGACACAAAAGACAAATTTCCTTTATATAAAAATCCCCATAACATGAACATTAAATGAAACAAACCTGTATTATTCAAGGCACCATCAGTAGCCTATATTTTCTATTTTAGCAAAAGTGGGCTAAATTTACTTCAAAGAAAAAAATAATAGTAATTTTCTATCATCCACTCAACTGAAATATTTTTTAAATATAATTGGATTGAAATACAATAAAATAAAGTGCAAAAATCTATTAATCAAAAACAACTTTCCTCAAGGAGAAGAACATGCAGTGAAAACAAATATTAAACTTTAACTTTTAAACTTGACCTGAGTAAAAACTCTAAATATGTGATTGCACAATAATGTTCACTTGTTTGAGGTTGAGGGTGATACTTGGTGATGTCCCATCTTTTCCACAAGTTCATCAATGTTCGGGGTAAGGCTCTGAGCTGAGCATTTTTGATGGGTATCTGAAAGTTAATTTTACAGTTATGCTGACGACTGCTGTGCCTCACCGTTGCATTGTTGGAAATGTAGTATTGGTGCGTGTAAAAGATCTGCGGGCTGCCGGCTTGCTGCGGTCTGCGGGCCGGTGTAGGTACCAGATTGACTCGGGCTGCCAGATTGACTCGGGGCCCTGCGCCTTTTGATGACATCACAATACATAATTGTTTTAACGTTTGCACAGTTGCGCAAAACATTTTGATTGGTCTGGACAGCTTACTAAAGTAATTATAGCGGGGTGTAGGTTTTATTCGAAAGCGGGATTGCGGTTTGTAAACGGACAATTTTACGAAGAAATTCTCCATGGTCCCTGCGCCTTCCGATGACGTCACCGAATTCGCCATGGGCCTTGCGCCTCCCGATGACGTCACATTATGGCAACGCCACTCAAACAAACTACATTGTTTAAATGTTTGTGTTTACATGAGAATAAAGTTTGAACTGAAAAAAATATATACCCATTTCCTGTAATCTGTAAAAAAATTAATGAAAAATTAATGTTTTAATGTATTATAGGTATTAGGTCAATTAACGGACCGTGCCAAACGATTACCGTTTATTGGCTAAATAAAATAGATTTGTGACAAATAGAGACCGCGGGCGCAATGTAGTTTGTTTGAGTTGAGTTGCCATATCGTTACGAGTGGCGTTGCCATATAGTGACGGGCGGAGTTGCCATATTATGACGTCATCAAAAGGCGCAGGCCCCCGAGTCAATCTGGCAGCCCGAGTCAATCTGGTACCTACACCGGTTCTAATAATAAATCAAGATCATCCCAGGGGCCGTAAAAAACCTTCTCGCGGGCCGGATATGGCCCGCGGGCCTTGACTCTGACATAAGTGTGTTAAAGGAAGGTTCATCGTTCTTTTTCGTCCTCAAGGGTTCTCAAAGGTAACCTGTGGAGTACCACAGGGATCAGTGCTAGGACCAATTCTCTTTACTTTATACATGCTCCCAATCGGTAGAATTATTAGACAGCAGGGGATTAATTTCCACTGTTATGCTGATGATACCCAGCTAAATCTGTCTATAATCCAGATGAAGCTAACCCATTACATAGATTACAGGCATGTCTGAAGACATAAAAAAAACCTGGATGACTCTTAACTTTCTGCTTCTGAATGCAGACAAAACAGAAGTTATAGTCTTTGGACCAGAGTCTCTGAAAAAGAAGCTGATTAGCCAGTCACTTCATTTGGATGGGATTAAACTGATTTCAGATAATAAAGTAAAACATCCCACATCAAAGAGGTTTTCCTATTTTCATCTGCGAAGTTTTGCAAAAATGAGAAACACCCTGTCCAGGGGTGATGCTAAGAAACTAGGTAATGCATTTGTTACTTCAAGGCTGGACTGTTGTAATTCTTTACTATCAGGAAGTCCACAAACTGTAGTTAAAAGCCTTCAATCTGACTGGATGATCTGGTTGTACTGGAAAGTGACCTGAGATGACATGTTCTGAATTGGCACTATAGAAATAAACTGAATAGAATTGAATTCTAGCTTGTTACAGTTACATGCATTACAGTACGGAGGACCATTCCTGCCATTATCAGAATTAATTAAGAAATGTATGAATTCATTACAGTCCCAATAGTTAAACAACCTATTAATTAGGGCTGCAACAACGAATCGATAAAATCGATAAAAATCGACTTTTAAAAGCATTGGCAACGAATTTCATCATCGATTAGTTGTGTCGCGCGATTAATGCGTCATCCGCCGCCGCCGTCATCACATCCATTTGACTGAAATGGGGGGGAGAAGAAAAAAGGCAGAGCGAGCCAGCGCTGCAGGTGCAGTGTTGCCAACTCAGCGACTTTTCAGACCCCTCCAGCGACTATTTTTCAAAAAAGCGACTAGCGACAAATCTGGCGACTTTTTACGGTGTCACTGGCGGCTTTTGGAGACTCTTACGTGAAAGCATGTATCGTTCCTACTCTCCCGCGGGGCGCCTCCCCCATCCCAACCGCATTCTCCCGCAGGAGTCCCACTCAGCACTGCAGTCAGAGCAGCAGGATGTTTACGCTCAGCGTCCAGACTGCAAATGAAGCGCGCACGCGCCGGGTTTGACGGCACAAATTGATCACAATAATTAAAATAGCCTGCGCTTTGTACAGTGAAAAAAGTCGTAACATGCAACTTTTGTCAAAACAAATGAACATGGCACGGAACCGCCATGTTTGTTTGGTTTTAAAGTGGGGAAACGTAACGTTAGTTTCTCAGGTAGCTCATCTGATGCTTTCCTTACCGTGTTAGTAGGTTACAGACGGTGATAAGGTTGGCTACTTATTTTACTTTTAATTTCATTTGAATTAGCTTAAGCAGCATTTATATTTTCTTTATAAATAAATGAACTTGCAAATTATGAGGGCAAGGCTTTTAAAGTTTAAATCTTCTGGCAAAGATAAAGTAAAGAAGATCCTGCAATTTATGGAAGTAAAGCAGAATAAAATCCAGCAAGATCAGTAATATGTCAACTAATTATATGCTGCATTTCCATGTAAATATCTGTCTTTGGAGGATGTGTTTTTTAGCACCCCTAGTTCTCTCATTTTTATTCCAAATACAATTTATAATTTGAATCACAGGGCTATTTTTATCTCTATGGTTCAGTATTTTCTCAAGTAGCAACTTTAACTGCTATACTTTCCTGTCTTAAAAGGCAGAACTCTTCTAGTCTAAAAAAAACTCATTGGTTGAAATGGGGGGGCCTGTTGTTTGAACCCCTTAGGGGCTTCTAAAAAAAAAATGTCTTTTTTTGCGCTTTATGAAACAAAGTAGCCTATATTTTGTGGATGTACAGCTACATTTCTCATGTAAGTTTGCGTAGTTTTAACACAAACATTTATTTTTCATATTGCACCAGGACAGTTAATGAGCAACCTGTACTTGTGTGCTTGTTTGTTCTGTCTAAAATGTTTATTTTGGAATAAAGAGTATAAAATATAAAAAATATTTTTTGTCCGATTCATCGATTAATCAAAAAAATAATCGGCAGATTCATCGATTTTTAAAATAATCATTAGTTGCAGCCCTACTATTAATGTAGAAATGAATGCAAAAAAAGGAATATAATTGAATTGAATTAGTTATTTGATACGTCCCTAGACTTAAGCAGAAGGTTCTGCAGGGTTTGAGGACGGTTCTTATTGGGTTCAGCGGGTTTTAGGTTGTGTTTGAGCTGGAAACAGTCAGACAGATCTGGCAACCCTGATCAGAGCACATCAGATATAACTGGAGAGTCCAGCTTTGACTGCTGACCTTCAGGTAAAACATTAAAAGTAAAATAGTCTTATATGATTAAGATCTTACCTTTATTTCATGTTTTTATAGATCTTTTTAAACTGTAACCGTGGAATGAAAGCATCATATGTGCTTTTATATTGTTGTCGATTGGTCTCAGTTTTAGTTTGAATTTAAGCTAATAATGTTGCAAGATATAAAGAAGTGTTATAATCTTGATTTTGCTACAGAAACTATTCATTACACTTCATTTCCTTTCTAAATGTTCTTCAATTAACCAAGAATGTTGATGTTTAACTTGTGTGACGTCAGCAGGCCAGAGGTCAAACAGCCAGAGGTCACATCAACCCAAACCACTGACGCCAACCTCAACATCTGTTCCGCCACCTCTGAATCGCCCACAAACGCCTCCGTTTCTGCTGCTGACGCCCCTTTCCGAAGCTCCGCCCCCACCAACCTTTCCAACATGGCCGACCTCCCTACCGATGACAGCAAATTCCTCTTCCTTGAAAACGACTTCCGTAACAGTGGGGTGGCCCAGGCCGACTGGATGGCCAAGAAGATGGTGTGGGTCCCATCAGAGAGGGAGGGGTTCGAGCCTGCTAGCATCAAGGAGGACAAAGGAGAACAGGTACAGATTCTAATGATCTCGTTAATCAATCAGTTGCGTTTCTCAGGGGTCACCCTTTGGCCCCTCGTTATCATTATAGATCAGTGTCGCATCTCAGAACAGAAGGACCCAGTATTCAGGCAAATAAATCAGAACAGGAGCACGGAGGCTCAGGGATCCACGAGTCCAAAGACAGTTCAGGCAAACCGTTCAGACGGGAACAGGAAGGCTCAGTATCTGAGAGGCAGAACAGGTCAGGATCGGGAAATCAGAAACATCAAGGCAGTCTCACCATTGGCTAGAGAGAAAAAGATAATCTGTCTCTGATGACTGGATGCAAGCACCTTAAATACAGGCAGCAGCAGGTGGATCATATGAGCAGTGATGAGAAACCAGGCAGAGTTAGACAGGTGAATGAAATAAGTAATGAAGCCAGTCATCAGTGCCAAGATATGGCCAATCAGGATCTAAAGAAGCAGGTTAAAAACGACCATTTCTTTACAGATGCCAGTGGATCCCAGCTGCATAATAAAACAGCTTTGAGACACATTTTGTTTGGGACAACAAATGTTTTTCCTTTTTTTCAGTCCATTGATTCCTCATCCAATAAAACCAACCATGTTTTCAGGCTCGCTACACATTCTGTGGGTAAATCTAATGCAGGCAGAGAGTGACTGCGCCTCGCTCCTCCGTTTTATTACCGATCGTTCGTCATCTGTCTTCAGGTCTTTCCTGGTTCCTCTCTACCCCTCATTGCTACACTTTTACATACAGAACCAGGAGCGCAGCCCTGCAAATAAACCATACGACATATACAGTAGCAGCCATTCAAAATGGCCCTTCCCAGCTAAATGCCAACCGAATAGCAGCCCACTTCCCTGCAGCTTGCCACCATCAGTGTGTGTGTGACTAGGTGAATGACGGAATGTAGTGTAATGTCAAAAAACGAGGACAGATGGACCCAGTATTCAATGAGGCAGTCAGTGGGAAAGTTCAAAGGGTTTATTTAATGAAAAACAAAGCTAAAAGGGGAGCTGCTAGGATCTGTGGCACGCGGCAACTGCAGGCGGGGGGCGAGGCACCGCCCAATCTCAGGTGCTCTGTAGTGGGAGAAACACAGGTAAGTGACCAAGATCATCTGACAGAAGATGATTATCTGAGTTGGTCACTTACCTGGTTTAACAGTCCAGTCCAAGGTGTCCCCAGCAGTCCCAGAGGTCATGCAGGAAAGCCGATCCTGGTCAGGGATCCAGAACAGACAGGAACAGACAGAACAGGATCCAGATCAGGCTGGAACAGACAGGTGGCAGGATCCAGGCTTCTGTCAGAGTCTGACAGAGTTCGGAAGCGTGACCAGACGTGGAACCAGAACTTGATGCAGGAACTTTAAACTGGTCTCCTCCCTGGAGCCAGGCCTACTGAGATAAAAACTGAACCTCCCCACATATAGAGCCAAAAACCCAGAGGACTCCGCGGGGGAGGAACAGTGGACGATCAGGAGACGAGACAGACACCAAACCCTCCTTCCACTGGCTGCCAGGATCCAGGACATGAACCAAGGAATAAAACTAACAGACAGGCTAACAGAAAGTAAAATGATGATCTGGCACTGAATGCTCAGGCTGAACTGAATATAACCAAAAGGAAACAGGTGAAAGGCATACATTATAATTGAGTCAGGGAGGAAAAAAGACAGGTGAAAGGAATATCCAATTAAGGAGGAGCAAACAGGCCAGATCATGACCTGTAAAGCGCTTTTACCTAGGCAACTGCTTAGTATTGCCTAATGGTAAATCCCCCCTGCTATTACCGTAGCCCAAGCATGATGCTATAGATGTATTGATTGCTCATTTAGAGTCAGCCTGTGGAAGATAAGGTCTAACCTGCCTTAATGAAAGCGGCCTGTTTCCCCCGCAGACAAACCTGGAGCGTTTTGTCAGAGAACTGGCTCTCGCTTTTTTGCTTTAGATGTTCTTGTCTACATTACAGCCACATGATTTTATAATTTTAGTCTAAAACAATTAATAATGAAAAATAAAAAACCTGTTGGACAACCTGTTGGATGATTTATACTTGCTATTTTTTTAGGATGTTGAATGATGTGTAATAATGTTTAAGTAATAAAAGCACTGAAATAGTTTTAGCTCATGTCTAATGAAAGCCAAAAAAGTAATTTTTATGATTAAATCAAACACTTTCTCCTCTGGACTGGGTGTTTCAGGTTCTGGTGGAGCTCTCCAACGGGCAGAAGGTGACGCTGAACAAAGATGATATCCAGAAGATGAATCCACCCAAGTTCAGCAAGGTGGAGGACATGGCCGCTCTGACTTTCCTCAACGAAGCGTCCGTCCTGCACAACCTGAGAGAGAGATACTTCTCCAGCCTGATCTATGTGAGAAACACCTCAAGCACCTCAAGATTCCAGATGCCTGCTCACACTAAGCCTGGTTATTCCTGAGGTTTCTTCCTGTTCAAAGGGAGTTTTTCCTCTCCACTGTCGCTACAAGCATGCTTAGTGTGAGGGATTGCTGAACAGTCAATGAGTCGATGCAATCAGCTGGTTTTCCTTAGATAGAAAACTTTGAATCAATCTGACTGGATGATCTGGTGAACTGGAAAGTGACCTGAGATGACAGGGTGTGAATTGGAGCTATAGAAATAAACTGAAATGAATTAAAGTCCAGCTTGTTCCAGTTACATGCATTACAGCCCGATAACACAGTATTTCTCTAAAGTACGGAGGCCCAATAGTTAAACAACGTATTAATGTAGAAATGAATGCAACAAAATAAAAAAGAAAATAATAATAATAAAGTTCCAAAGTTATTTGGAGCCTTAAATTAAGACCAATATAGCTTTGTTAGCCTGCTAAAGATGATGTTAGCATGTTAATTTGATGCTAGCAATTTACCTTTAGTTAGCAAACAAAGAAACTTTAATTATAGCTTATAGTTTAGCATACTTAGCATGGTAGTAAAACTTTTATATTTGCTGTATTTGTTATTTAATCAAAATGTGGTTCACAGCACAGGGAAAATAAAATCTACACTTAAAAGTTAAAACACAATTAATGTTTAGGAAATTTTTACCAGTTTGTGTTTTTTTGCTTTTATAAAGAGTCTAACTTTAGCTTATGAAAATGTTAGCTTGCTAGCAGTCAGATGGCCACTGATTCTTAAATCGTTTCTCTATTCACTAGAACGCGAGTAAGGACTCGTGTTCTCGCCAAGTATGTTCTTGAAAAGAACCCAGGAAAGTCTAGAATCGGGGATAATGGGAGCATGCAGCATAGATCTGGGTCAATTAGAACAGCAGCGTACTGATGACATCACCACATTCAAAGCTAGTCTGGAGCTGCATTTCAACTCCTGTTATTAATAGTCTCTAGATAATAATAAATTATGACTTTTTTCATTTAGTGGGGGAATAATGATGAACATAGTCAGATAAACACAAATCAAATGAACATTTTGCCAAATAAAACAAAATAAATCACCATCAGAGCCAGCGGTACTTCACACACGGCTATGCAGAGAGAGGGCTGCTGCAGACGGGCTAATGTTAGCCCTGGATGCTGCAGATAGGCTAACGTTAGACCTGGATGCTGCAGACGGGCTAACATTAGCCCTGGATGCTGCAGACGGGCCAATGTTAGCCCTGGATGCTGCAGATGGGCTAACGTTAGCCCTGGATGCTGCAGACGGGCTAACGTTAGCCCTGGATGCTGCAGACGGGCCAATGTTAGCCCTGGATGCTGCAGACGGGCCAATGTTAGCCCTGGCCGCTGCAGACGGGCTAACGTTAGCAATGGCCACTGCAGACAGGCTAACGTTAGCAATGGCCACTGCAGACAGGCTAACGTTATACCTGGATGCTGCAGACGGGCTAACATTAGCCCTGGATGCTGCAGACGGGCCAACCTTAGCACTGGATGCTGCAGACGGGTTAATGTTAGCCCTGGCCACTGCAGACGGGCCAACGTTAGCAATGGCCACTGCAGACAAGCTAACGTTAGCCATGGATGCTGCAGACGGGCCAACGTTAGCACTGGATGCTGCAGACGGGCCAATGTTAGCCATGGATGCTGCAGACGGGCCAACGTTAGCACTGGATGCTGCAGACGGGCCAACGTTAGCCCTGGATGCTGCAGACGGGCCAACCTTAGCACTGGATGCTGCAGACGGGCCGTTAGCACTGGATGCTGCAGACGGGCCAACGTTAGCACTGGATGCTGCAGACGGGCCAATGTTAGCCATGGATGCTGCAGACGGGCCAACGTTAGCACTGGATGCTGCAGACGGGCTAATGTTAGGCCTGGCCACTGCAGACGGGCCAACGTTAGCACTGGATGCTGCAGACGGGCCAACGTTAGCCCTGGATGCTGCAGACGGGCCAACCTTAGCACTGGATGCTGCAGACGGGCCAACCTTAGCACTGGATGCTGCAGACGGGCCAATGTTAGCCCTGGATGCTGCAGACGGGCCAACGTTAGCACTGGATGCTGCAGATGGGCCAATGTTAGCCATGGATGCTGCAGACGGGCCAACGTTAGCACTGGATGCTGCAGACGGGCTAATGTTAGGCCTGGCCACTGCAGACGGGCTAACGTTAGCCCTGGATGCTGCAGACGGGCTAATGTTAGGCCTGGCCGCTGCAGACGGGCCAACGTTAGCACTGGATGCTGCAGACGGGCCGTTAGCACTGGATGCTGCAGACGGGCCAACCTTAGCACTGGATGCTGCAGACGGGCCGTTAGCACTGGATGCTGCAGACGGGCCAACGTTAGCACTGGATGCTGCAGACGGGCCAATGTTAGCCATGGAGGCTGCAGACGGGCCAACGTTAGCACTGGATGCTGCAGACGGGCTAATGTTAGGCCTGGCCACTGCAGACGGGCCAACGTTAGCACTGGATGCTGCAGACGGGCCAACGTTAGCCCTGGATGCTGCAGACGGGCCAACCTTAGCACTGGATGCTGCAGACGGGCCAACCTTAGCACTGGATGCTGCAGACGGGCCAATGTTAGCCCTGGATGCTGCAGACGGGCCAACGTTAGCACTGGATGCTGCAGACGGGCCAATGTTAGCCATGGATGCTGCAGACGGGCCAACGTTAGCACTGGATGCTGCAGACGGGCTAATGTTAGGCCTGGCCACTGCAGACAGGCCAACGTTAGCACTGGATGCTGCAGACGGACTAATGTTAGCCCTGGCTACTGCAGACGGGCCAACGTTAGCAATGGCCACTGCAGACAGGCTAACGTTAGCCCTGGATGCTGCAGATGGGCTAACGTTATCCCTTGCCGCTGGAGATGGGCTAGCGTTAGCCCTGACCGCAGCAGACGGGCTAACGTTAGCCTGTCTGGCGGCATATGCACATATTGAGAAAAGGCCATAGATTAATTTCTTTGCTTTTGGGTCTGAAAAGACAAAACATTTTACTGAAACGGTAAAATTTGAGTTTTGAGTCCCTGCAGTCTTTGTAAGAACATTAAGACAAGGAGCAAAAATTAGAGCATTAATCATTTATTTATCTATTGTTATAAAAAAGTTTTCCACACAAATACAGATCAGGTTAATGATGGATGTTCTAAGAGTTTTATTACAGTTTTACTACAGAAAACAGGTTAACTTTTAGGTCTAATACAGGAAAAAATGAATATAAATTTAATATTAATCCCACTTGGAATATCATTACAAACAACTGTGATTCCTTCCCTCTCCAGACGTACTCAGGTCTGTTCTGTGTGGTGGTGAATCCCTACAAGATGCTGCCAATATACTCTGAGAAGATCATCGAGATGTACAAGGGCAAGAAACGCCATGAGGTGCCGCCGCATATCTACTCCATCACCGATAACGCCTACAGGAACATGCTGCAAGGTGACCCCTGTTCCTCTTTCATCAGGTTCTGGAGGGTTTATCTGCATAGATTTATGCAGGTATTCAAACCTTTTAGCAAAGCTGGACTTTCAGCCTGTTTCCTCTGATGGGACAGGTCAGGTCTAACCTAGGCAGGTTTATGCATCTCTCCATCTTTAAACCAGTTTATGAATAATGAAGCTTTTCTTTTATTCATCCCAATTTTTTACTTTTTAGTTAATTTCTGGGAATTTGCTTTAATGTTTCCTCATAAGGTTGTTTCCTAATAAAAAATGTAAAGTGCACCAGTCCCTCCTGTAGCAAAAAACCCGCTAGCTTTGAAACCTAAAAGTTTAAGTTTTAGAGATATTTGCGGGGGTTTTGTATCGTGATTAGAAATAGACTGATGCATCAATCAACTGATAATTTAGGAGAATATTTATATCATTCTCTTGTACTGTTATGGGATTAGCACATCCAGCAGCCATTCCTTAAGATAACACGACTCCCATTCCAAAGAGGGGGACCCGTTCATCCGTCTTAATTTGCATGTTTTCTAAACAAAAACAAGGCTTTGTTGGACTGCTGGTTAAACCCGGAACTAAACGCTATTTCTGACATTTTAAATTAAAAAATCTTCCTTGAAGGGAAGAGAAATGTCTTTAAACTTGAGGAAAAAAGTCCAGTAGATTGTTTTTTAACTTTTTTGAAATAAGTATTGATTCATACCTGAATAATAAGGTTGGATTTAATTGTTTTATTTGTATCTAAACTGAGAAAAAATGGCAATGTTTGTTATTTTGTCCTTTTTATTATGTAAATTGGGGAGGGGGGGGAGCAATATCAGCTTCTGAATTTATTCCAGGAAAAAATCAGTAGTACATATTGGGACTGGTTAGACATGGGATTCCTAAACTTCTCAGGCAGCCAAATTCAAAAGATGGTTTCCCCACATTTCATGACAAAACCATGAACGTTAGCAGAACTTCTATCTGTGATGACCAGCATCGTTTTCTGCTTTAACTTATTATTTTCCCTTTAATGCTTCGTTTTTCAGGTTTTCACATCTGGATATATTTTTTATGCCCAAAAAAAAACAAAACTAATGTTTTCTTCTTTTTTTTTTTATAGTGTTGTCAAAGCCTAAGGGGAAATAAAAATGTCTTTGTTTCCCTTTCAGGGCTTTCGTAGAGCTTTAAAATGCTTTATTCATCGTCTGCTGGGTTTATAACTTCTGAAGGCCAACATGGAAGATAAAAATTTGTTATTCCTGCAGAAATAAGCGCTTCTAAGACGTCTAGCTGCTCCTCAGAGAACCCCCCACTCAGCAGTTCTGAGGGGGGGGGTTTCTACGGCCAAGCATCCTCACTCATCTGGAAGCTGACTGCATCCATCATGGATGAGTGAGGCGTGCTGCTGGCCGTGAGCGGACCTGCCTGACGCCTCAGAGCGTGCCGACCTCAAACTAGCTCCCAACTTTCCATTCAGCCCCAGAACAGCCATACATGGAGCAGACAGAGTCCTGCATCCACCTGCTATATTTAGAGCCACGGAGGATAATCTCAGAGATATTTACCTTCATTTGAGCAAGAGGAGGGTTTCTCTGCTCAGCTTCATTCTCTCTCTCTCTCTCTCTCTTCACAGACCGTGAGGATCAATCTATTCTCTGCACGTGAGTCAAAACGCCATATATTACATCATTTCACCATAAATCCTTAATTCAAGGAGGCAGAGCACAACAGAAAGCAGAGTTCACACTTTTATTTAAGATATTTTTAATCCTCTCTGACATAAAACCTTTAGTTAGTTTTCACACCACTGCAAAAAATAAAAACATCAGTTCATTGTTTCTGAAATAAAAACATTTTCCCTGGATTTGAGCCGATAAATAAGAGATTAAGTTGAACAAGATGATTTACATTTAAAATAAGAAATATACACTTACCTATTTTCTTAATTTAGTTTCATAATATCAAAATATCTTACTTTCTTTAAATAAATACTAATTTTATTGCCAGATTCTCTTATTTACCTGCTCAGCTTATTTTTTGAAAGATATTTAAATCTGAGGAGCTAAACTTGTTAAAGGAAAAGTTCAGTCAGCAGGAATAATCAATGGATCTTTATTTATACCTAAAACTAAAACGTTTGCAGTGATTGTATGAAATTAGTGTTAATCAGTAAAAAAATTAAAACAATAATTATTTTTCTTGCCATCACCGAGTCTGGGAGCAGCCATTTTTGCCCAAATATAGTAACCCCTCCCTCCTGCCATCTTCCAGCAGTGACGTCACGGTGCGGTAAGCCTAGCGCCATTCTCCCCGCTTTCCAAGCTAAATCAATGGGAACTACTAGACACATCTGCAATCAACAACAATTATTGAAGATTTCCAGAGGACTTCACCATTGAAATTCACCAGAGCTATAGTGAAACTGACAATGCCCACGTGCATGGCAGCTGGATGCTGGAATACATCGGGTAAAAGTGAAAAAAAGAGTTATTCCACCTTTCTGATTCCTGATCCTCCACGGACGGGTTGGTCGTTGGATCGCCAACTTGAAGAGGGAGGATTTGCCATCGAACTTCTGGCCAGAGAAAAAACCCGTAATATGTAGCCAACATTTGGAAGAAGAATGTTTTCAAGATGACTTGGATAATAGCGCGTTGTGACAAACACCAGATACAGCACTGGGACTTGATCAACAGCCGATACCGCACCGTGACGTCACTAACCAGTAGGTGGCAGTAGTGTTCTTTGACAAACATGGATGCCTCCAGTAAAGCACATTCACATGAAAATTACTCTGAATTAAAAACACTGATCATTTATTGAACAGGATGGAATCATTTCACATTTAAAGAACTTTCTTTTTAGAGAAACATTTTTTTGATCAAATAATCAGATGTTTTCTGCCTGTTAAAGAGTCAAAAATGTTTATTTTTTTCCAATTAGTGGGGAATCTGGAGCCGGGAAGACAGAAAACACCAAGAAGGTGATTCAGTACCTGGCCGTCGTCGCCTCGTCTCATAAAGGCAAGAAAGACATCAACCCTGTAAGTAGAAATTTGCATTAAATAGGAAAAATGTGTTTGTTTTGCTTTTTTCATTTGTCTCACAGAGAAACTTTAGTTTTTCTCTCCCTCCTACAGTATCTTCTTACGGAGCCCCTCTGATGACATGGTCAAAAAAAAATGTTTAATTGTGGCCACGAAGTAGTATTTTGCGGCCACGCAATAAGTATAACGTGCGCACGAAATACTTAATAATATCAATAAATCCGCCCCTGTTTTCAGGCTTATGTTAACTGTAATGATTTATTTTGGACAGGCTGCTATGTAAACGGGCCTTTAGTCCTTCGTTTAGCTATGCTGCGGTTGTTTACACTACGCCTTTTCCACCTAAAATGGCGTCTTAGCAACAAATGTAACGTGACTGGCGGAGACCGACTGGGTAAGCAAATCGAGCGCGCCTTAGACCTTAGAGAAGGCGCACTCGATTTGCTTACCCAGTTGTCGAGGAATGATATTAATATTATTAATAAGTATTTCGTGCGCACGAATAAAAACGAATAAAATAAGTAAAGAAGAAAACTCACAGATACACACAAGATTAATATAAAAAAGATTGACTTTTCAGTTTAAAATAACAGTTTGCAACATTTGACCAAACTATCAGTATAATTTGAGAAATATTAAATGATTTTGAATGAATATTTTTATGAATGAATATTTATTTATTTCAGACAATAATAATAGTAACAAATTAACAAATAAAATAAATAAATCAAAGGAACGAATAGTAATAAATAAAACAATTCCAATTTCAGAAATGATCAAATAATAACAATAATTAAATCAATTTCAGAAATACTGGTTTGGTAAACATTAACTTAAATTTCTTGTTCCGATTCGATTTAAATAATTGAATAAACATAAATAGAAATGCACTAAACAATGTTTATCATTAACAAGCATTATATTTACCCTAATGTCTGTCATTGATTAATTCTTACTGTAAATTGTCTGAAAAGGGGTAAACTTATTTTTCATACCCCTTCTCCCTCTAGTTTCACTGAAAGTAACCTAAAAGTACCTTCCTGTTTAACATTTATGTTTTGTTGTTTTTTTTATTTTTTAAATAAATAAGTAAGTATTTAGGTCAATGTTCAGCATTTAGTGCGAATCGATGCTCCTCTGTGACCTCAGAGGGTTGATCCGTCTCTGAATGGGTCATGTGACCCAGAGTTCAGCTTCAGAGCTAACTAAGCTAACAGCTGTTAGCTCTGACCCTCAGCTGATCAGACATGTTTCTGGTTCTCTGATGGAGGATTTCATCCAGAGGGTGAATGTTTCCTCATCTTTAATGGGAATTCCAGGACTTCTGGACCTGCTGGCCCAGACTGGTCTGAAACCAGAACTTAGACTGGTTTATTTATGCTGGGGAAGATTCTCTGTCATCCAGGTCACAGTCATTCCAAAAGTAAAAAAAAAACAATCCACTGGACTTGTTTTTTTTTCAAGTTTGAAGACATTTTTCTTCCCATCCAGGAAGCTTTTAAATTCAAAATGTCTGGAGTAGCTTTGAGCTCCAGGTTTTTATAGAGTAGCCCAAAATAAAGCCTCGTTATGGCTTAGAAAACATGCAGATTGAAGTGTTTTTCAGCTTTTTTTGGAACTGCATTGGAAAAACAATCTAGAAATAAGTAATAATGTCTTAAATTAAGTGTATTTACCCTTAATTTGAGTAGGTAATTGAGATAGTTTGCCAATGGAATGAGTATTTTTACTCTTAAAATAAAATAATTAGATATGTACTTGAAAAAAGACAATGCAGTTGTGCTTTCTTATTTTAAGTGTAAATTGTCTTGTTCCATTGGCAAAATGTCTTCTTTACCTCCTCAATCCAAGAACAAATGCATTTATTTTAAGAAAAAATGACTTATCTAGATTTGGATTTTTCCAGTGTGGTTCATTTAGCTACAGGGTGATGCTGCCAATTTCTCTCAGGGGATCCACAGTAGTAGCCATTTTAAATTCCCCCACTTTCCTAAATATTCTGTCATAATTTGTGGACATTAGCATCTAAAAGGAAAGCGCCATCTCCTGGTCAGACCCTGTAAATCTGTGAAAGGGTGGAGTCAGAGGAAAAAAATATGCACGCCCAGGAGGAGGGGGTCACTCCAGTGCCAGGAAGTGGGCTACTATTGTGTCCCTCTCTTCTTGTCCCGTTTCTTCTTGTTTTCCTCTCTATGTTTTGTACTCAGCTGACTTTTCATGCTGTCTCTAAAGGAATGAAAGATTTTTTCCAAGCACTAAGCTCACTTAGCTGATTGCTCCTTCCTGTGTTTCCAAAAAGGCCAAAGTAAATAACCCAGTCCTTCTTTTCACTGTAGACAAGCCATGATCTGCTTATCTGTTCTCCATTTTTCATTTGGATGAAATAATAGCTGCATGAATCATGACAGCAGACAAGATAGAGGAGAGCAGGAGGTGGGGTTACCAATCTACTCGCTCTGGAGAGCAGAGTTCGCTGCTTTTAGATGTTGTCTCCAAAGTCTCCAGTAGCAGAAAAAAGTCTCTAGATTTGGCGCTAGGAGCTTTTTAGAAATCAAAGTGCTAGAGGGGTCTGAAAAGTGGCTAAATATAGCGACTAAAGCGCTAAGTTGGCAACACTGCTCTTTGCATCGTTTGTTTTCAAATGGTTTGCTGCTGTCTGTTTGGACCTTTCTGAACATGTGCAGCAAATAGACTGATCCAATATGGTGGACACTGAAGGGGGGGGGGGCTGAGACACACTTAATATTATCAGCGTTCTGATGGAATTTTAGCAAAAGGATTTTTATCAAAAACATATTTAATGTGCACAGATAAGGAATAGTTGTATTAACCATACATGGAAACAGAGTTTTATGGGGCCCCCAGGAACTTGGGGCCCTAGGCAGCTGCCTAGTGTTGCCTAATGGTAACCCCCCTGCACTGACCTCTCAGTGGACCTCAGTCAGCTGATCCTAATCCTGCAGGGAATCTTCAGGAAGTGTTGTACAGCGAGGTCTCAGAGGAACCTGATGAAGCGGCCGTTTGGTGACGTCAGGTCTTATTTCACCTTGGCTGGTCCTCCATCCATCCCAGACTGTTTCCTGGTCCCAAACTCTCCTGGATCCGACGCAGCACTAAAGTCAGGGATGATTGGACGTCATCAGGGTAGAAGGTGTCTGAGTTTCTGCTCCTCCACCTTCTCTGATCCAGAGATCCTCTCTTAAAATCCGGTTTAATCAAACGCAAAGTTGGCTGTGAAAGCTTCCGTGTTTTACCCATCTAAAATCCTTAAATTCTGAATTTTCCTGTATGTCACAGGACTCGGTCGCTGCAGCTGTGGCCAAGGTGAGGACAGACTCCTTGGTGCTGGTTTCTCCTCCTGCTGCAGCTGCTGGGGTCTCTGCTCTTCTGTTGCTTCCCTCTGAATGAGGAATAACTGCCAAAAAAAAACAGATACACTGGAAAAATGATCTAGAAATAAGTAAAAACTTCTGAAATTTAGTGTATTTCCCCTAAATTAGAGCAGGTAAATGAGATAGTTTGCCAATGGAATGAGTAGTTTTACTATTAAAATAAGATAATTAGATGATATGCACTTAAAATAAGACAATGCAATTGTGTTTTTCTTATTTTAAGTGTAAATTGTCTTGGTCTATTGGCAAAATGTCTCTTTTATCTCCTGAATCTAAGAAAAAATGCACTTATTTTAAGAAAAAATAACTTTTCTAGATTTTTTTTTCCCAGTGTAGAGCTTAATATCGCCTCCTACTAAGGGTTATAGTCGTGTTTCATCTAGAAATGACCTTTCGGGCTGAAGATTCATTTCTGGCTTTTTCCGCTCCGCTGTTTCAGTCGGTTCAAGTTAAATAAACCAGATGAATAAACATATTTTTAACGGCTTGTTTTTCTGACTCTTCTTGCAGCAGCAGTCAGGATCTTTGGCCTATGTGAGTAAAACTCATCTGGGTTGTTTGTTTGGATGAACCCTCGCCTGCTGGATAACGTCCCGCCTGTTTCTGACCTGCAGGGGGAGCTGGAGAAGCAGCTGCTGCAGGCCAACCCCATCCTGGAGGCCTTTGGCAACGCCAAGACCATCAAGAACGACAACTCCTCCAGATTTGTACTTTTTTTTTTTCTTCTCAGACATTAAAATAGAAGGTTTCAAGTTTTAGGATTTCTCTCCAAGCTTTTGCATTTGGGTTTAACTTAGAATGAGCTTCAGATCATCAGCGTTCTTACGTCCTGACAGATAAACTTCAGAGATGTTTCACAGCTGCTCTCCTTCCACAGGGGAAATTCATCAAGCTGAACTTTGACGTGACCGGCTTCCTCGTTGGAGCCAACATTGACACCTGTATCCTTTTTCTGAGCTTTTTTATTTCCTCTGTCTTCCTAAATGAACCAACATGAAGGATTGTCTGCTTAACCCCACCCAAACTGAACAGATCTGCTTGAGAAGTCGCGCTGCATCCGTCAGGCCCAAACTGAGAGAGCTTTCCACATCTTCTACTACATGGTGGCTGGAGCTAAAGACAAGATGAGGGGTGAGAAGGACCGACCTGCAGGACGGGGTAGAGAGGGGATCATCTCTGGGTTTTTGGATGGTGATTGTGATTCTCTGTGTTCCTGCAGAGGAGCTTCTGTTGGAGGACTTCAACAGCTACCGCTTCCTGAGAGCGGGTCACGTGGAGATTCCAGGTCAGGAGGACGACCAGCTGTTTGACGAGACTCTGGAAGCCATGGAGATCATGGGCTTCACTGAGGAGGAGAGATTAGGTACCTATAGACCCCCTCTAACCGTTCCCGGTGTTTCTTGGTAATTTAGCTGCTCTTTTTAAATTGTTGTTCTTTGAAACTCTAAAGAAGGCCACTGGTTCCATATTTCTCCTTTGTCTTTTATTCAGCACTTTTCACTCTGACAACCATTTCTGAGCTTCCAAGAGCTCAGTCCTTATATTAACAATTAGCAAAACAAAACAAGAATAAAATTATTAATCTAATTTACAAACTCATCTACATAAAGAAAGAGTCCGCAAAATAAACAATATGATACAAGATAACAAAAAAAGTTACTTAAAAAGAAAAACAAACAAAGCATTATTCCAAAGAAAACCCTCTAATTGTCAGAACCCAGCAGGGTAATCAATGACATCATCATCATCTATCAATTTAGCAGGAAATACTGGGAAAAACAATGGTGAGTAAAAAGGAAAACAAATACCATGAATTTACTTTGAAACAAAATAAAGAATATCAACCAATAATCCAGAAGTAATAGCTTTAATCCGTGATAGTAAGTGAAGCAAAGTTGCAAACTAATGTTTAAATTTAAGCATTAAGAATCAGAAAAAAAAAAAGAATATGGGACAAGTGATGAACACACACTGAACCACTATGTCAAAATCCCGTTGGACTGTTTCTAAACAGTAGTGATGGGTTGATGAGGCGTCATGAAATGTTTCGACACATTACCAAACTGTATTGATACTGTGTCGATACTGTGTCACTGAATACTGACACCTGCTGGACATTAAAAATCCCTACAGGCAACCTAGTTGACAGAGTTAACTGACACTGATTTGATGACCTATTATATACACTAATATGATGCAATTCATTGTATGATGCATTGTATTATTATTAAAACATATTTGATATTTTAGACACAGTCAATGAATAATGAGAACCTGCATCATAATGTAATAATCTCTAAGTAAACATGTAGTAAATGAAGATGCTTGTTCACTGGTATTTTTTTTACAAATTTTTATTCAAAAAAATAAGTTGTTGCAACGTTTTGAAATCCAGTCTTTTTTGATATTAGTTCTCCAGCTGTGGAAAACACCCGCTCACACGGCACAGATGAAGCTGGAGTGCACAAAAATTTTAAGGCCAGGCGGAAGAGGTTTGGATAAACAGTCCTTTGGTTTTTCCAATATAAAAGAGGATCCTGGGACCTCGCAATATTGCCCTCTGCCATGTTTCTCTGCACCTCAAGGATGGCATCAGCTGTGGCACTTTTGGTCTGCCTCCCCACTTCGAGATCAAAATGTTCCCAAAGGTCATCTTAAAAAAAAAAAAAAAAAAATAGTATGTTAGTACATGAATCAAGTGGAAACTCTGAGAGGAACAGGATGAAACAAGGAAATGAAAACAAATACCTTATTTTCCGAAATGACATCAAAGTGGTCCCACACGGCAGAAACCTTTCTTTTTGCATGAGGAAGCTCCATAATTTCTGATAAATTTTATATTCGCAAAACACGCAAGATTGTTTTGGCAGATGCATCTCGTTGGCAGATGCGCTTCCTTATAAAGGCTTCCTTATAAAGGCTTATAAATCAGTTCGAAACATCGGTCACGTGACCGATACAGGTACTGTTTCAGTCACGTGACTTTTCCGTAGCGATACACACGTCGACACAGGTTTCGCTCTATGAGACCGACACATGCGCCGACGCATCGGTGTTGCCCGACCCATCACTACTAAACATGATCCATATCTCAGGACCACAAGGATGGGAAATGATCTTAAATCTTGGCATATAAGATCAGGATTTTAGTAAACCCAAGGGGATTCTGGGAAATCATGCTGCTGGAGTGCACTACAGGGATGGATGGAGGGTTGATGGATGGATTGATGGTTTAGCAGAGTAACTAATCACTTGTTCTAAACCTTCAGGGATGTTGAAGGTGGTTTCCACTGTTCTCCAGTTGGGGAACATCAAGTTAGAGAAGGAGAGGAACAGCGAGCAGGCCACCATGCCCGACAACACCGGTAACCATAGCAACTCTGCATCACCAGGTGTGTGAGGAAAACCTGCAGCTTCTCTGACTCCTTCTCCTTTCCAACAACACGCAGCGGCTCAGAAGGTCTGCCACCTGCAGGGCATCAGCGTGACCGACTTCACCCGCGCCATCCTCACACCCAGGATCAAGGTGGGGCGGGAGGTGGTGCAGAAGGCCCAGACCAAACAGCAGGTACTGATCCGTTTCAGGCATCAGTCAGCGTCATCTCTCGGAAAGCGTTCTCCTAAAATCCGCCGTCGCTTCCAGGCTGACTTTGCAGTGGAGGCTCTGGCGAAGGCCATGTATGAACGCCTGTTCCGCTGGATCCTCGCCAGGGTCAACAAGACGCTGGACAAGAGCAAAAGACAGTCGTCGTCCTTCCTGGGGATCCTGGACATCGCTGGCTTTGAGATCTTCGAGGTGACGTCCTGCAGAGGAACGTTGTTTGTTGGTTTCATGGATTTCTGCCTTCTGAACTCGGAAGCGTCTCCCTCCTGCAGGACAACTCGTTTGAGCAGCTCTGCATCAACTACACCAACGAGCGGCTGCAGCAGCTCTTCAACCACACCATGTTCATCATGGAGCAGGAGGAGTACAAGAGAGAGGGCATAGAGTGGAACTTCATCGACTTCGGCCTGGACCTGCAGCCCTGCATCGAGCTCATCGAGAGGCCGGTGAGATCGGCTTCATGGAAGCCAGAGACACCTGGAAATGATGTAAAGCTAAGATCTTTATGTTCTGCGTCATTCCAGAACAATCCTCCAGGCATCCTGGCGCTGCTGGACGAGGAGTGCTGGTTCCCGAAGGCCACCGACCAGTCGTTTGTGGACAAGCTGATGAACACCCACACAGGCCACGTCAAGTTCTCCAAACCCAAACAGCACAAGGACAAGCTGATGTTCACCGTGCTGCACTACGCTGGGAAGGTAACCAGAACCTCAGACCCAGAACCTCTGCTCTTTATGTTCTTCCTCCAGGCAGGCAGGAGTTCCTGGACCTTCTGCACCTCCGGTGTCATCATCATTCAGATGATTCTCTGCGTAAGCCGAGCTGGATCCTTTAGTCAGCAGGACTCTGTAGAGCTCAGCTACATGGTGAAGATGCAGTTTAGATGCTGATTGAGGCGTGTTGGATCAGCAATATATAAATCTATATTAGGGATGGGACGATTTATGAAAACCGTCAGAATCGTTCGGTTCGCGTGTGTTTCGTTCGGTTCCTTTTTCTCATAGGCGAAGCGTTTACACTCCAGAGCAGAAGGTGGCGGAACTGCGACCAAAGCCAACCACCAGTAGTAAACAAGAAGAAGAAGAAGCGAAGCAGCGTAGCCGGGTGTAGCAGAAAAAATCAGTTGTTGTGGAGAATTGTGTGGGTATGGCGAGTGGGAAAGAACAGGAGTTGGAAGACGCGCCAGCAGCACTTTATAGGTCTGCTGTATGGGACCACTTTGCATTTAGAGTGACCTACGATGACGGAGGAAAGAAAGATGTGGATAAAAGTGCAACAGCGTGCAAGCATTGTGCAACACGTTTTGTTTATGCTAACAGCAACACGACCAACATGTCATGCTAACCCTGAAATCCCTCATACTCCGTCAGCGCTCCGCCCCGCTGCGCTCCAGACCGGCTGCTCAAAGCAAAGCCTACAGCCTCCACTGTGGCTCCCGTCCGCTCCGCTCTGAGTTCCTTGGAGATGGTAGAGGGCATGCGCCAGATGATTAAATTCAAAGCAGCAAAACATACGGAAATGATCCAGGGTTTCCGCGGATCATTTAAAATAATTACAATCCATTCTTTTTTGGGGGATTTTTTCATTAATTTCATAAATTTTTATGGGATTTCAGTGTAACAATCAACATGTATCGAACCGAACCGAACCGAAAACCGTGACCACAGATATATCACTGTATATGTAAAACATCCTCCTCTGTCAGCTGAGCAGATTAACCCCGACCAATAACGCTTGAAGATTTATGTAACAGCTTGTCGCTTTCAGCCAGAACCCACAGGAATCTCCAGTATCTACCAGTAGCTGTGTCTCTAAAGTAGAGCAGGGAAAGTAGTTTTTATTGTTGAGAGAGTACAAATTATTTATCACTCAAAATTACTTTAAAATCACCAACATTCGATGAAAACGACCCAAAAGCGTTGCCGGCGCCATTTTTGTTGTTTTGTACACATTCTCGCGTGATTTGAAAAAGGCGCGTGATTTTCCGCCAGATGGCGTGATTTTTGTCCACCTGGCGGTAATTTTGATGCAGTTACCAAAACGACAAACGGCTGCATTTATTTTGTCAGGGAGAACTGATCCTGAGTCGTTAAAAGTCAGGGAATTCTGAAATGATGTCAGACTGTGGAAACCCTGAATAAAATAACTATGTATAATGATTCTCTAGAAAAGTCACATTATATTAATAGTATTATCTTGTATAAACATACGGTGACTCTAAAATAAAAGTTATTCATTTGTGACATTGATTTCTGTCTTGTGATTAATTGTTTTTAACATTACAATTTATATTTTTCCAAGCACACAACAGTTTAAAGCAAAGTTTAGTTTGAAAAGAATGTGAAGGAAGGATTGAAAAGCATGTTAACACGGTAATGTAGGCTTGAGTTCATTATCTGACGCATGCAGATACACACCAGGAACCTGGAAACTTAAAAAATACTGAATTACAAAAAACATTTAAAAAACAAACATCTTTCATTGATATATATACAAAAATGAATATTAGGAACTATATTTATCAAACATTATAATGGGCAAGTAAAAATTGTTTCCGGGCAAATGAAATGTGAAAGTCACTTGCCCTTTGGGCAAGTGGTAAAAATCCTTAACGTCAACCCCTTTAGAGTTTCCCCTTTGACCTGCAGAGCTTCTGCTTCCTGTCTGCAGGTGGATTATAACGCCGCCAGCTGGCTGACTAAGAACATGGATCCTCTGAACGACAACGTGACGGCGCTGCTCAACAACTCCTCCAGCAACTTCATCCAGGACCTGTGGAAAGACGGTTGGTCCCATGACACCTACACTCACACATAAGCTGCCTGTTACCATGGTTACAGCATGGTACGTCTTCCTTTCAGTGGATCGAGTGGTGGGCCTGGATACCCTCACCAAGATGTCGGAGAGTTCGGTGCCCACCAAGTCCAAGAAGGGGATGTTTCGCACGGTGGGTCAGCTCTACAAGGAGTCGCTGGGCAAACTGATGACCACGCTGCACAACACGCAGCCCAACTTCGTCCGCTGCATCATCCCCAACCACGAGAAAAGGGTGAGCCGCGGTTAGATCTGCCCCCTGGCTGCTGACAGGAGGCACTTCCTGTTTGATTTTTACTCTCACTTCCTTCTGCAGGCGGGGAAGATGGACGCCCACCTGGTGCTGGAGCAGCTCAGGTGTAACGGGGTCCTGGAAGGCATTCGGATCTGCAGGCAGGGGTTTCCGAACCGCATCGTTTTCCAGGAGTTTAGACAGAGGTAAGGAGCTTTTTACCGGAAGGTTTCATCACCTGGAAATCAGTTAAAACCTTCAGAACCATCTGGAGTGTGAAATCTAGCTGATATCTTTTAAGTGTTAGAAGTCAAAAAGGTGGACGGGTGCTAGCTAGGGCTGCAACTAACGATTATTTTGCAAATCGATTTAATCTATCGATTATTTTTTCATTTAATCTACTAATAGTCGGATAGAAAAACTTTCCTTAAAGAAGATTTTACAAAATTAAATTAGGTGAAACTAAAACTTTTCCCACATGAGGAGTTCTGGATAGAGCGTATTGACAGATGAAATGGTTTTCATCTTAAATGCAAAATGTTTACATATTTCTATTTACAATTCTGATATAATTACCGCTATAAGTGGGTTGCTTTGTCAGCTAAAAGCATGTTGTTGAGTCTCTATACTCCAATCAACAATAAATCAATTATTAAATTAGTCGCCGATTATTTTTTTAAACGATTAATCAGATTAATCATCTCAGCCGTGGTACTAGCATTAGCCAGCTTTGCTAACGCCACACATTGCTGCCCTTCACTATCAGATCTGTACTGGCAGCACGATCGGCTCATTTCTGGCTCATCGATGACGGCGATTTATGAAAAAATACAGAAATTACGGATTTCTATCAATAATTATAACATGCATAATAAACTGCATTGTGTGAAATATTAATAATAACTTTGCTGAGAAAACAAACATCTTTACATCCTTTCTGTCGTCTGTAGCAGATCTGTCCTGGAAATATGATCCGAGTTCTGCTTCCAGCAGCACATTTCTCTGCTTTGAATTTGCAAAAACATGGAATGTTTTGTTTTATTTAAAATAATAGCTTAGTAAACAATACATAGTTATAAATATTATCATATGAGTTGCTTAGTGAAGATGGATCAGAAGATTCTCTGTTTCACTACTGGAGGGTAGTGATACGCTGACAACCATATAGTCCAAAAATATTGAGCTATATTTGTATAATAGTTGATAACTGTCTGCAGTTCAATGCAGTGAGGAATGTTCTGATCTTTATATTAGAGAAACTAAACAACCTTTTAAAGACATAGACAGGTTTCTGATATTACAGGCTAACAAATAAGCCAAACGACCCCCATTCCAGAGGGAGGGACCCGTTCGTCTGTTTCAATTCGCATGTTTTCTAAACTAAAACCAGGCTTTGTTGGGCTGCTGGATAAAACCTGGAACTAAACGCTATTTCTGACATTTTAAATTGAAAAGGCTTCCTGGATGGAAGAGAAACGTCTTTAAACTTGGGGGAAAAAGTCCAGTGGATTGTTTTTTTTTACTTTTTCTGGAATGATTCTGACCTGGATGACTGGGAATCTTCACCAGCACGTTGATAACAGTATATATAGACAAGTACTTGAAAATTTTACATCATAAATTCCTAGAAATGCTTTTTTTTCATTGCTGATTTAAAAAGCTAAACAGTTAAATCCCCCTGATGAGAATAAAAGGTTTTTATCTGATCCAGTTGAGATCTCCTGGTTCAGAGTACGATTGGCCATCAATGTGGTCAGTGCAGCAATCAGGACACTGGACAGTTCCCCCTTTAGAACACACCGTCTGACATGCTGATGAAGATTCTCAGTCATTCAGGTCATAGTCATTCCTTAAAAATAAAAAAATATCCACTGGACTTGGTTTCCAAGATTTGAAAACGTCTTCAAATCTTGGAAACCAAGTCCAGTGGATATTTTTTTAATTTTTACGGACCACCGTCTGACAGTTGACATCCGTAGCAGCTATAGAATAGCATCTCCCTCCTAGCGTGAGTAGCAGCAGCTGTCCAAAGGTGACACTATTACCAGACATTTTATATGGAAATCAGGTGAGAACAAATCTTTAACTTAAAGGTATAGTGGAGAATTTTCCCAAATTTTTGAAAAGACCCGCTCCGGATAGAGAACGCTTATTAAATGCATGCAAGAAAGTGCACGAGCCTATTTCTCCTAGTTGCTGTTAGCATCGCTCGTAAAAGCTTATTTTCCAAGAGAAGATTTGCAATTTATCCACTATGTCAGACTCACGTAGGACGGCCTTACGTAAACATATTAGGAGGACCACTTATTTAGATTATTTACCATCCGGAAAAAGAACGTCCTCCACTACACCTTTAACCATGTAATGCCAAATGTATCGTATTTGATACATACGGTTTCTGAAATGTTTTGCTTCTGACACCTTTTGCATAATTTAATGGTAAAAACTTTGCTCAAAATCCTATTGTTCACAATCAGATATACCTGATAACAGCCAGTAGAAGACTACACAAAAAATAATCTTGACTTATCGCATAGAAATAAATTATTAATATCAAAAATATATTTTTCTGTTTTTTCTTTTTACATATTTTGTTAAAAGGCCAAATAAGGACTTCAAACCAAAAAAAAGTTATTTTCTGTTTTGTTTTATTCTTGGATCGGGCTTTAAAGCTACAGTGTGTAATTTTCAGCGACATCTAGCGCTCAGACTGCAGACTGCAGCAACATGAACATCCCCCCCCCCACCGCTTCTCCCCCCCAACTGTACGGCGAGCGTTACGGGACAAAATGTCTTCCACGACGTCCGCATCACCTACTTTCTCAAGTGATGAGGTTTGTTTACATAGATAATTTTACAGATAGTATTTCATTAGTCTGTGTAGGGTATAGATTTCATGTAGACTTTAGATAATAAATATACCCGTTATTTTTTCTACATCGTTGTGACGTTTTGGTGAGCTGCTTTGCATGGTGATATAAACAGACGAAGTAATTGTAGTCATTAGTTTAACAGCGAGATTGTGTTCGCTGGTAGAATATATATTCCCCGTTTACAGAGTCTAAGTCTTGTTTGTGGCACGGGGGTTACAAGGCAAGGAAGAGGGAGAGGAAGAGGGCAGAGAGGCCGGGGTGAGCGTGCAGCTAGGGCCAGCCGAGGGAGAGGTGCCTACAGCAGTGGAGGAAAGGCTTGAAGATCTCCAAAGGAGCCGGAGAGAAGTAACCGAGGTATATATCCGTAGCTCGCTAATATGCAGCTTCATATATCTGTCTCTCTCACACTCACACACGCCACTATCAGCTGTGGTAATTTTATGAAGCTGTGGCCTTATCTAGGTAATGCTACCAGACATCTTGACAATAGTTTGGTTGAAACGGGATGTGGGGGTGGGGTATTACGTGTATAAAAAGACAATTGTGTGTGTAGGATTAATTACCTGTCCAACAGAAAACTGGCGACTTGAGCGTCACTTTGAAAACCTTTTTCCTCCATCAGTGACTTCCATCGTGTAAATGCCGTGCCAATGTTGATCCGCGTTTTTTGTCACGCTTGCGTTTATTCTCGTCGTGTTTCCGCTTCTTAGATGACGGGGGTTCGGTGTCCGCCGCTTTTCGTTGTGATACAGAGTCGGCATGATCCTCCATTCGTCTGATGTTTGGCCAAACAGTTTGCAAAGTCACTCACGCCTGCCGCCTTGTTCACCTTTCTTGTTACCGAGGCGCAGTATACCTGCTTCTTCTTCTTCTTTGGTTTCAGGCAGACTAAACGCTTCTCAGGCATAATACTGCCATCTACTGTTCAGTACCGTTGTAGGTACCAGATTGACTCGGGCTGCCAGATTGACTCGGGGGCCTGCGCCTTTTGAGATGCGTCAGAGCGTCCGCCATCTTAAATGTGGCAAATCTGCAGTTTCTCAGTCACTTAAACAGTATCAGAGGGACTTTAATCTCTGAATATACTTTGTATTCGTAGTATTTTTGGTTTTGTAATATTACAAGTTTATTTTTTGTATCCCTTTAGCTTCATTCTCCTGAATTTATTCTCGTTACAAATGCAGACCGCGGGCTCAATGTAGTTTGTTTGAGTGGCATTGCCATAATGTCACGTCATCGGGAGGCGCAAGGCCCATGGCGAATTCGGTGACGTCATCAGAAGGCGCAGGGACCATGGAGAATGTCTTCGTAAAATTGTCCGTTTACAAACAGCAATCCCGCTTTCGAATAAAACCTACACCCCGCTATAATTACTTTAGTAAGCTGTCCAGACCAATCAAAATGTTTTGCGCAATTGTGCAAACGTTAAAACAATTATGTATTGTGACGTCATCAAAAGGCGCAGGCCCCCGAGTCAATCTGGCAGCCCGAGTCAATCTGGTACCTACACCGTCTCAGTTCATCTCTCTCAACTTGCCGTAGTTATTTTTGAGCGTCATGGGAGATCTCGCAATCGCTAGTTTGTTGCCTCTGCGCTGCCGTAGCGCAAAGATGTCAGCCTCCATGGCTGCGAGACCCGCTCCTATATAATTATAAATAACGAATTCTAAGGCAACGCAAATGTTATGGTTAAAAGGCTGAGCTCATAGGTGATGATAAATAACATAGTTATGTATAATATATTCAATTTCTGACTTTATATCCCTGTAATTATTACACACTGTAGCTTTAAAGGGTTAATAAGAGAAATAAAAAAATGTATTTGAAATCTAGTTTTAGCTACAGAAATAAAATGGTAAAAGGAAAGAAAACAACTTTATTAAATAAATGAATTAAATGGAGATGGGAAAGTTTCTAATGGGATAAATGACCTTGGTTCCAAAGAGTCGGTGGATTGAACCATTTAACATGTTTTCTCTGTATTATTATTTTATTAGATCCCCCCTTCTCCTTTCTCCCCTTTTTTGGCACCTATATACCAGAATTCCCATGTCGTGCAGCCATAGTAAAGGTTTAAAAGCTTTTACTGAAGAGCTGCACCCCAGGGTTGAAAATGAGCCGACCTTCTCATCCTGTCTGCAGGTATGAGATTCTTGCCGCCAACGCCATCCCTAAAGGCTTCATGGATGGAAAGCAGGCGTGCTGTCTGATGGTGAGTCTTTTCCTAAAAGCCGCCGACATGAAAAGCAAAGAATAGATTCAGTTATGCTTCGGTCCTCAGGTGAAGCATTTGGATCTGGACCCAAACCTGTACCGAATCGGTCAGAGTAAGATGTTCTTCAGGACCGGAGTTCTGGCTCAGCTGGAGGAGGAACGGGACCTCAAACTGACCGTCGTCATCATCGCCTTCCAGGCACGAGCACGAGGCTTTTTGGGACGCAAGTAAGAGGGACTCTTCAGGGTTTGGGCGTCCCAGATCCATCCAGAAAGTAACGTGTGGTGCTGGTTCTCTGCAGAGCGTTTAGTAAACGCCAGCAGCAGCTGACTGCCATGAAGGTCCTCCAGAGGAACTGTGCCTGTTACCTCAAACTGAAGAACTGGCAGTGGTGGAGGCTCTTCACCAAGGTTCTCCTCTGATCAAACAGCTCCACGCTGGACTTAGACTCTCTACAGAGTCGAACCTTTACGTTCGCTCCACCCAAGTTTAATTTTCATGTCTGTTTGTGAACCAGGTGAAGCCTCTGCTGCAGGTGACCAGGCAGGAGGAGGAAATGGGTCAAAAGGAGGAAGAGCTGAAGGCGGTGAGAGAGGTTGCGGCTAAGACTGAAGCTGAACTGAAGGAAATCAGCCAGAAACACACACAGGTGAGTCAAACGCAGCGTCTGGCTGAGCCAATCAGAGGCTATAAAAGGGATGCCTCTGCCTGCAGCTGGCCGAGGAGCGGGCGCAGCTGGAGCTGAAGCTTCAGGCCGAGGCCGAGCTGTACGCCGAGGCCGAGGAGATGAGGGTACGCCTGGAGGCCAAGAAGCAGGAGCTGGAGGAGGTGCTGCACGAGATGGAGGCGCGTCTGGAGGAGGAGGAGGAGCGCAGCATCTCCCTGCAGCAGGAGAAGAAGGACATGGAGCAGCAGCTACAGGTTAGACATCATTTAACCTGTGAGGGCCGGTTTACTGCCAGAGGAAGGCGAGTGGATTGATTTAAATTTTCTTTTTTTGGAGTTAATCACAAGGAAATTCATAATGGACAACACACTGAGTTGAGTTTTTTCCCTAATAAACTTCAAACTTAAAACCTTAAGTTGCAATTTTAAAATGATTAACCTCTATTTAATCTAATATCTGACTAAAACATGAGAGAAATATATATTTTTTAAACAACTGCGTAAGAATTCCTGCATTAAGGGTCTGCTGGTGTCTGATCCTGTGTCCTGCAGCTGATGGAGGCCCACATCTCGCTGGAGGAGGACGCTCGGCAGAAGCTCCAGCTGGAGAAAACGGCTGTGGAGGGGAAGGTGAAGAAAATGGAGGAGGACATGATGCTGATGGAGGATCAGAACAACAAGCTGCAGAAGGTAAGAGCTCCTCCTGTTCCAGGATGTTCCAGCTGCGCCTCCTGCTGACCGTCCGTCTCTGCTGTCAGGAGCGGAAGCTTCTGGAGGAGCGTTTGGCTGATATGAGCTCCAACCTGGCTGAAGAGGAGGAGAAGTCAAAGAATCTGGGCAAACTGAAGGCCAAGTATGAGTCGATGATCTCCGACCTGGAAGGTGAGTCTTTGGGAGACTTTATGGCAGCGAATAACGATCAGAAATAATTATGGGCCCTGAACTAGATATTTCCTTCAGAAATATCTAGTTCAGGGCGTGCAGGTGGAGCAGTGGGTCGCCGACCCGGGTTCAAATCCGACCTGTGGTCCTTTGCCGCATGTTTTTTTTCGACTACTGTCGAAAAATGATTCAATAAAAAAGTTGGTATTCAAAAATAATTGTGCCACACACTGTAACAAGAAAGCAATAATTTAGAAATAGTTATTCGCATAATTAGCATCTTTTTCTGAATGTATTTAGTTCGCATGAAGAAGGAGGAGAAGTCTCGTCAGGACGTGGAAAAGGCAAAGAAGAAGGTCGATGCAGAGCTGGCCGACCTACAGGAGCAATACGCCGACCTGCAGGCCCAGCTAGCCGAGCTGCGAGCCCAATTAGCCGCCAAAGAAGAAGAGCTGCAGGCTACACAGACCCGGTGAGATGAAAATACACACAATCCTCCAAGGAGCCAAAATGTGCTCAGTCCTAATCGCTTCCTAAGCATTCATTTCTGGGTCTGTAGTTTGGAAGAGGAGAGCACTCAGCGTGCAACGGCGGTCAAGAAGATTCGCGAGTTGGAATCGCTGCTTTCGGAAGTACAGGAGGACCTGGAGGCGGAGAGGACGGCGCGGGGGAAGGCTGAGGCGGCCCGACGGGACCTTGGCGAGGAGCTAAACGCGCTGCGCTCTGAGCTGGAGGACAGTTTAGATACCACCGCTGCTCAGCAGGAGCTACGGTCTGTATCACACCTGTAACGATCCACCACACTCACCAACCTTCTATCAATGAGTTTGATTTCAAAGAAATATTATGTTGGATAAAAATATCCAACAATAAAACGTGATATCATCTGCGTAAAGCTTTATCCGGGCGAACAAACAGCTGAGGTTTTATTTCTTTTATTCTTCTCGCTCATTGATAGAGCCAAACGAGAGCAGGAGGTAGCCATGCTAAAGAAAGCCATGGAAGATGAGGGGCGGAGCCACGAAGCCCAGATCCAGGAGCTCCGAGGGAAACACAGCCAGGCTGTTGAGGAGCTGGCGGAGCAGCTGGAGCAGGCCAAAAAGGTCGGTTCAATTCACCACGATAAACTTTAGCTTTACCTAACATCTCACTGATCCCTGTTCATCTGATTCCCTCCAGGTGAGAGCCAGTCTGGAGAAAGCTAAACAAGCCCTGGAGAAGGAAAGTGCAGACCTAAGCGCTGAGCTCAGATCCCTCGCCAGCTCCAAACAAGATGTAGAGCACAAGAAGAAGAAGGTGGAAGCTCAGCTGACTGACCTAAACTCCAGATTTAACGAAAGCGAACGGCAGAGAAATGAGCTCGGAGAGCGAGTGACAAAGTTAAACGTGAGTTAAAAACCTCATGACATGCATATGACGTCGATGAGCTATGGTTGATCCTAAGACGTTTAATTTAACCAAACAGATCTTCTTAATGTAGAAAAAGTGAAACTAACCCACAAAGATCTGCTGTGTTAGATGGAGCTAGAGAGCGTGACTGGCCTGCTGAACGACGCGGAGGGGAAGAACATCAAGCTGAGTAAAGACGTCTCCAGTCTGTCCTCTCAGCTCCAGGACGCACAGGTGAAAGTCACACCTGTTGACTGAAGCTCCGACGGTCCCAGATCACAACCTGTCCTTTTCCTCCAGGAGCTGCTATCGGAGGAGACGCGTCAGAAGCTGAACGTGTCGGGGCGTCTGCGTCAGATGGAGGAGGACAGGAACAGCCTGACGGAGCAGCTAGAGGAAGAGACGGAGGCCAAACGCGTCGTAGAACGGCAGCTTTCCAGCCTCAACATGCAGGTCAGGAGCATGAAGACAGTAGCCTCGTGAGACCATCGTGATCTCGCGAGCTTTCAAGGTTTCACTCGCAGATCAGTCTGGAGAAAATTTGGAGCCGTTCACCAAACGAACGTCCAATCAGCGTTGGCTTTGAGGCGGGTTGACGCAACGAGAAGCGCGACGGTTCAGTCTAAAGAACATGGCGGCTTCAGCCGATAAAACTAGCGTTAGCGTGGCTATCGAGCAAGTTTTATCGGAATTACAGAGTATTTCTTCACTGAAAGAAGAGCAAAACACTGCTCTGGAGGCTTTTCTCAGAGGAAAAGATGTTTTTGCTCTTCTCCCGACTGGTTTCACCAAGAGTTTGATCTATCAATTGGCTCCTCTTCGTCGTCGCTCTGTTAGCACGTCATATGCTTCGTTGATCTGATTGGTTTATTTGGCCCGTCTATCACCAACATAGGCCAATCAACTAACCAGTATTTTCGCCCCTTCCCAAAATTACTTCAACGGAAGGTTTCCACATGGATATGCGGAGCAAATATAGTAAAGCATTTACATTTTTCTAACACTCAGGATTGACAACTTAACTGTTTTAAACTCTTGCTGATTGACTTTGAAAAATTTAATCCTGGATTCTGACAAACAGACATGTCTCTTATTTGTGTCCCTAATTATGTCCAGAAAGAGCAGCTCAATCTGAAACTTTCAACAAATGGCTGCAGCAGGAGCTTTCCTTAAAAAATATAATTATGAACTTTAACAATCAAACTTAGTGGGCGGAACTAGAACCGATTTCATAGAAACCCTGACGTCTGATTGGCTGCCTCTCACTGAGAACGACAGCTGTCTGTTCCAAGAAAGTTTCATGATGAGTTTTATGCACAGATTCCATGAACCAGAGAGAAATAATGACAGTACCATGTAAATGAATTTATTAAACACCAAAAACTATTAATATAATGTAAATGGTATATTAAATTATTCAAAGGCTAATTAGTTTTTTATATTTCATAAATTGATGAAACATTAAATTATTTCAATTCAGTTTATTTCTATAGAGCCAATTTCCAGTTCACCAGATCATCCAGTCAGATTGATTCAAAGTTTTCTATCTAAGGAAAACCAGCTGATTGCATCGACTCATTGACTCTTCAGCAATCCCTCACACTGAGCATGCTTGTAGCGACAGTGGAGAGGAAAAACTCCCTTTGAACAGGAAGAAACCTCCAGCAGAACCAGGCTCAGTGTGAGCGGCCATCTGCTGAGGCCCACTGGGGTTCAAGGAGACAGAAGCAGACATAGAAAAAGAAGCATAGATACAAAAGGCAACTGTAAACATCAGTTGTGTGAATGCAGATCACACAGGAGATCACATACAATCAATCGCATATATTAGGAAATATGAACGACCACGCAGAAGTGAGCATTAATGCCTGCAGTGTGAACATAGCCTAAAACATGGAGGGGGATCCGTTACAGTCTGAAGGAAGCAAACGTTTGCTGATTTTCACTAAAACCCCACAGCTACACGGTGGTGGCAGCATCATAATAATGGGTTACTTTGCTGGAAACATCCTAGAGAACTGAGGGGGAGGATGGTTGTCTTTAGCGTCGTAGTGAGTCTGAGAAGACGTCAAACATCCTCTTCATGAGAGGAGGATTAAAAATAAATGAATCAGATTAGTTTCATATTATTAGAAAACCTCACTTTAGCAAACAAAGCAATGATTACATCATGTTCTCTCATCCTCTGAGAGCTTTAGTGTCCTTTGTTTGACCTTTGTTATATTTCTGCAGCATAAATATGATGTAAGATGTCAATGTTGATTTTTTTAAACTAGTTTTTAGTTTGCATGTGACATATAAAAGAGAAACAAAACATTTTAAATCTTCTTCTCATGGCTCGTTTTTGTCCCGTTTAATAAAACCTGAGATTTTACCAGAAGTTGGTACATTTCTGTTATCTACTGTAGGATTAACAATCAGGAAACTTGACTTTAAACACGTCTAAGGCCACATTTCTAGGATTTGTTGACAGTGATGTTGCCTTTGCTGGTCTGTTTTATCAAAACGTTTCCTAATGAAACCAGCAGTAGATCTGAAACCTTTCTGAGCTCCTCCTTGTCCTCCTACCTCCTAGTTGTCCGACCACAAGAAGAAGCTGGACGAGATGTCGTCCACGGTGGAGATGCTGGAGGAGGGGAAGAAACGGCTGCAGCGCGACCTGGACGCCGCCAACAGCGAGTACGAGGAGAAGGCCGCGGCCTACGACAAGCTGGAGAAGAGCCGCAGTCGGCTGCAGCAGGAGCTGGAGGACGTCCTCATGGACCTGGACAGCCAGCGGCAGCTGGTCTCCAACCTGGAGAAGAAGCAGAGGAAGTTTGATCAGGTCGGGCTGGAAATAGGAGATGACTGGTTGCTATGGTGATTACCACCTTTTCTTAGGAGGAAGGCGGGCCCTTGGCATCTTTTTCCTGGTAAACCGGAAATCAACATTTTAAGTGAAAAGTGTTACTCGATTCCAGGACAACACCTTATTATTGTGACATTCTAAAAAAATATGGATATTTTGATGGCAAAAATGTATTTAAATGGAGGTGGACTCCATTTGTAAGGGGTATACAAGGGATTAAAAATGCTTACTTGTCCTATAAAGGGGTAAACAAACAGTGAAATACATTAAAATAAATGTGTCTGATCTCTGCTCTCTGGAGGAACTTCATGTAATACTGCAAGTCCTCCAGCAGGGGGCGACAGAAATCCTTCTCAAGTTCAGACCAATCTGTGAGAAAAGAAAACACATCTAATAACAGTAATAAAATGTAAAATCTGAAATTTCGCAGCTCTAATTTGATAAAAAGGGAAAATAAATAAAATTACTTATTCATGTAATTCAGTAAAATTAAACTTTTTCTTGGCTTTTTTAATTTTTTATTTATTGCAAATTCTGCAAACATCACTCAGAATATTTCATGTAATTCTCAAAAAACCTCACAGCCCACATTTCCTCTTTAAAATGTGTTTAATTTTCTGAAATTTAATAATTTTAAACTTAATATAACACTCTGGGATCAGAGCTGCAGTGAAGTTAAATAACTGCTTGTTTATCCTCAGATGCTGGCTGAGGAGCGCGCCGTGTCGGCCAAGTTCGCAGAGGAGCGGGACCGAGCTGAGGCGGATGTCAGGGAGAAGGAGACCAGGGTGTTAGCTCTGAGCCGGGCGCTGGAGGAGAAGCAGGCGGTGCTGGAGGAGGCCGAGAAGGCCATGAAGACGCTCCGAGCTGAGATGGAGGATCTCATCAGCTCCAAAGACGACGTGGGGAAGAGCGTAAGAATCAGACACCTGAACACCAAACGTCCTGTTAGTGGAGACAGGCGGAGCTGACCTGTGATGATCTGTCAGGTTCACGACCTGGAGAAGGCAAAGCGCGGCCTGGAGGCCTTCGTGGAGGAGATGAGGACGCAGATCGAGGAGCTGGAGGACGAGCTGCAGGTGGCGGAGGACGCCAAGCTGCGTCTGGAGGTCAACAGCCAGGCGCTGAGAGCGCAGCATGAGCGGGAGCTGCAGGCCCGCGAGGAGATGGGCGAGGAGAAGAGGAAGCAGCTCCTCAGACAGGTGCAGCTCCAAGAAGTAGAAAGCAGTGGTTTTCTCCAGGGGGCGCTATTGATGGGGCTCAAAATGGTAGAAATAAAAAAATCAAGGCACAGCAGATGATTCACTTCATACGGAAGAGGATTAGGGCCACTGGAAAAAAAAAAGTAAACAGATTTTTACATTTTATTTCAGTTTAACATGGGAAAAAAGTCAGAATTCTGACTTTAATCTCAGAATTCTGACTTTTTTTCTCAGAATTCTGACTTTTTTCTCAGAATTCTGACTTTTTTCCCATGTTAAACTGAAATAAAATGTAAAAATCAGTTTACTTTTTTTTTTTTTTTTTTCAGTGGCCCTAATCCTCTTCCGTAACTTCATTTGTCTGATTGGAATCTGCCCTTTTTTTGTACACTGAATGTTAAACACTAAGTTTTTTTTACACATTGAATTCCTTACACTGAATGTATGTCTAGTAAAAATTTGCTTTAAAAAAATCAGCTGCAAAAAAATCACCTGGAAAAATTCAGCGGTAAAAAATTAAGCTGGAAAAATCAGCTATAAAAAAAATCAGCTGCCAAAAAATCAGCTGCAAAAAAAATCAGCTGTAAAAAAATCACCTGGAAAAAATCAGCTGGAAAAAATTAAGCTGGAAAAATCAGCTATAAAAAAATTCAGCTGCCAAAAAATCAGCTGCAAAACAAAAATCAGCTGCCAAAAATTCAGCTGTTAAAAAAATCAGCTTTAAAAAAAATTCAGCTGCAAAATTTTCATCTGCAAAAAAAATCAGCTGTTAAAAAAATCAGCTTTTAAAAATTTCAGCTGCAAATGTGTCGACCTTTTGGTGAACTCAGGCCAAAGCAATCTACATTCGATGCAGTCGAGCAGCTTCTAGCCAATGAAATGAGCTCATTTGGTCATGTGACTCAGCAGTTGGGCGGAGCTTTGTTCCTGACTGAATGAAGCTGAATGAGGAGATTTTCGTGTTAAATCGATGTGATTACAAAACGTCAGGTAGCTGCTAATAGACAGACAGAGTTTCTCATCTAATGGGACTGGGTGAAATAACTGAGCCAATCACAGCTAGTGCAGCACCCCCGTCTGCCAAGGCTCTTGGTTTGATCCGGAAGAAGCGGCCGGCGGCAAACTTGCTTTTTTTCTGACCAAAAATTCAGTGAAAGGAATTCAATGTGTAAAAAAGTTCAGTTTAAAATTCGACGTACGAAAAAAGGCAGATTTAAAATGCCTTATTGACCTCATCAGGTGCGAGATCTGGAGGCGGAGCTTGAGGAGGAGAGGAAGCAGCGAGGTCAGGCGTCCGGCGCTAAGAGGAAGCTGGAGGGGGAGCTGAAAGACATGGAGGACCAGCTGGAAGCCACCAGCAGGGGGCGTGAGGAGACGCTGAAGCAGCTCCGCAAAGTCCAGGTGTGCATTCAGACGGATGTTCTCTGGTAGGAAGGAGAGGCGTGGTTTGGTTCTGATGCTGCTCGCTGTGCTGACAGGGGCAGATGAAGGACCTCCAGAGGGAGCTGGACGACTCCCGTGCCGCTCAGAAGGAGGTGCTCTCCTCCGCCAGGGAGTCGGAGCGCAGATCCAAGATGATGGAGGCGGAGATCCTCCAGCTGCATGAGGTGCTGCCGCCTGCTTCCTTTGACCATATTAGGAAAATAACCTCTTATCGTTCATTCCTGCAGCCTGAGCCGACCTTTGACCCTAATAACACAGACAGAAATATTCCGACTCTCTGGGTTCCAGATATTTGATGCTTCAGTGACAGATGTTAAATGGTTTCTGATCTTTTCTGATCCGTCCAGCTGTTGGCAGCTGCTGAGAGAGGTCGGAAGCAGGCGGAGACGACGAGAGACGAGCTGTCCGAGGAACTGGCGTCCAACTCCTCTGGAAGGTCAGTTTACGTCCGCTGGGACGCGAGGCATTCCCTGTCCAGATGGCATATAGACGCTCCCTCCAACATTATCCCAGTCTTCCCAGTTTAACCCCAACGAAAGCAGCAGTGCATGAAAATAATGCAACTCATTAAACTCCAGCAAAAGAAACAAAGTTTGAAAAAAATCTGTTAAAAAGGATCAAAAAATGTTGAAATCATCCATTCATCCATTTTCTGTTACGCTTATCCCTGCTGGGGTTCAGAGGGGGGCTGGTGCCCATCTTCAGCTGTCCACCTGGACAGGCCGCCAGTCCATCGCAGGAAAACACAGAGACAAAAGGACAAACGACCATTAACACTCACACCTAAAGCCGGGCGAACGCTGTACGATTTTTTGCTCTTTTCAGGCCGATTTTCCACTCGTGCAAGAATTTTTCAATCGGGCAGACTTTGATTCTGATGGTGCGTGGTGTGGTGTACAGAGGGGGTAAGGAGGGGCGATTAGCCGCTAACGACCACCTCCCCATCAGGAATCTTAAGGTAGGGAGAAAATCAAACATGTTTGAAATTCAGTCGGCCGTCGTAAGGTGGTCGTGGAAAAATCGCTCAGTGTGCAAACAAAGATTCTTCTTCTTCTTCCTCTCAGAGGAAAACCCAGCATCATGGCGGGGGGGCAATGAGTGAAATGGAGTTCTTTCTGTCAAACTGACAGACCGTAGCAGCCATGTTAGCTCAGCCATGTCTTTGTCCAAATACGTCGTCTCCTTTTCTTTTTAGGGCTTTCAGCATAAAATTGCCCAAATATCCAAGGCAGCGCGTTTCACTCTAGTGAGCTTCATGTTCCTCTGCTACTGTTTTGGCTTCCGAATAGACGAGTCCGAGTAGCGCCATCTCACTGCGGAGCTGAGTCCCACCTGGTTTTTAGACGTACAGTGTGAGCAGGTAGATCGCATCAGAGCGTCGGGTCGCACAGCGTGGAAACAAACTGTGAACTTTTAAACCCTGCGGTTCCATTGTACAGTTTGAGCTTTAGCTGTGTGCAAGGATTGAGAAAATCGTACAGCGTACGCCCGGCTTAGCGAGAATTTAGAGAAGCCAATGAACCTAACAGGCGTGTTTTTGGACTGTGGGAGGAAGCAGGAGTACCCGGAGAAAACCCAGGCATGCTCAGGGAGAACATGCTAACTCAATGTAGAAAGACTCCGGAACCTTCTTGCTTCAAGGCAGCAGTAATTAGAAAACAGTGAAGTTAGTCTTCAAACCTTTTATTGATTAAAACATTTTTCATCTCTGGATTATTTCGGTTTTTCAAATTTAAATTTATTAAAGTCGTAGGGAAGCAGCTGTTCCAACCGTCGCATTTCCGAATTCTCCTGAGTGGTGCCCAACTTTACACGAGTGAATAAAGTGAATGTGATTGGACGTTTATCAAGGGGGCGGGATTGTTGTGGCGGAAGGTTCGCAAGCAAGTTTGGTTGTGGCTAACCAGTTAGCAACTTAGAGCCGTACATGTTTGAGCCCTTGCCTCGCAACGCTGCCAGTTCTGTTAGCTCTACGCCTGCTGAAGACACAGACGTCCATCCCCGTGAACACTGGGACGCAACTCAATGGGAAAGGAAAGGATTCTGGTTTCAACTGTTGCGTATATTAGCTGCGACACATGAATCAAGATGCTATGACCGAAAAAATTTGATTGACAGATGACCTTTGATATATGATTGGATGAATTTAGGTGTTCAGGCTGACGTAGAACTAACTGGCCTGCAGAAGATAACGAAAAACACAGATTTTAAGACAGGGTTGTTTTTTTTTTTTTAAATATAAATTTTCTACATTTTGGGCGAATATAATCGGATAAAGAGAACATTTATATACATGTTTAAGTCAGAATGCTTTGACATTTAAATATGACTTCACTACAACTTTACAGATGTTCTTTGCAACGATAATGGAACAATTTCACTCCATTTGTGTGTGAAGCATGTGGGCGGGGCCTCAATGTTTGGGCGGAGCCTGAACTTTAGGTCAGATAATTTGTCCTATAGATTTGTTGAGGCCAGGTCTAAGATAATGCTTCAGAGAATAAAACCATGCGGAGCTTACTGGAATCTTTCATCTGATTTTTTTTCCCCTCTTTATGTTTTTAAGGATGTTTTATTTAACATCTGATTTATTTTATTATTTACATGCTGACACAGTAAGGCTTAAAGTTAGAAAAACGGCTTTATGAACCTTTGAGTTTGCCTCATTTTGATCTTTTTAATTAGATCTTCGGATGAATTTGTATGAGAATATTTCCGTAGCATATTTTTAAAGCATTAATTGGAGCACTAAAAGCCCCTCCCTGTGCAGAAGCAGCAGCTCTGGCTCCTCCCCCTCTGTCTAACTGGAGGAGAGGACGAAGTAGGAGGGGTTTCCTCGCTGGATCAGGTCTAACTTCACCAGAATGAACCAAAACGAGGCTAAAAGACGCTTCAGATCCATTAAAATCTCATCTGTAAATATGCAAGGTGTAAGATAAGTTGTTCGACCTCTGATCCTTCCAGGTGGATCCAGTCCGATGAAAAGCGCCGTCTAGAGACGAAGATCTGTCAGCTGGAGGAGGAGCTGGAGGAGGAGCAGGCCAGCGTGGAGACGTTCAACGAGCGGCTGAGGAAGAGCCAGCAGCTCGTAGGTTCCCAGGATATCAGGGACAAAGCGGGTGGAAGGGACCCCAGCCGTCAGCTGACCGGCCTCGTGCTTGGCTTCACAGGTGGAGCAGTTGGGGGCGGAGCTTGCGGCTGAGAGGTCTTCCTCTCAGAGCAGGGAGGCGTCCAGGCAGCAGCTGGAGAGACAGAACCGGGAGCTGAAGGTCAAAGTGCAGGAGGTGGAGAGCCAGAGCCGCTCCAAGCTCAAGTCCTGCGTCGCCGCTTTGGAGGCCAAGCTGAGGGAGGCCGAGGAGCAGCTGGAGGCGGAGAGCAGGTAACGCCGCAGACTAAAAACCTCAGATAAGGTAGCGAAAAAGGGGAGGAGCCAAAAACCATGTGGAACCTTTCAGAGAGCGGCAGGCCAACGGCAAGAACCTGCGGCAGAAAGAGAAGAAGCTGAAGGATCTGAGCATCCAGATGGAGGACGAGAGGAAGCAGGCGCAGCAGTTCAAGGAGCAGGTAACCATGGCGACCAAGCGGAGGCCACGCCCCAATAAAAGGTGGGGTCTCCTCTTAACAGCGATTGGTTCTCCTGCAGATGGAGAAGAGCAACGTCCGAGTGAAGCAGCTGAAGCATCAGCTGGAGGAGATGGAGGAGGAGGCGCAGCGCGTGGCGGCGGCCCGCAGGAAGCTGCAGCGGGAGCTGGACGAGGCCACGGAGACCAACGACGCCCTCAGCAGGGAGGTGTCGTCCCTCAGGAGCAAACTGAGGTGAAGATCAGGCAGGGTGACCCAGGAGGTGAAACCAAGCACACCTCCAGGCAGCTCACATGCGGTCAGGATGGTTTACATATTTATATTCATGAGATGAAAGAAGGTCCTCGGTTTGATTCCCGCTGACAGTCTTTCTTCATTTTCCTTTACCTGCTCAAATAAAAGGCACAAAAACAATTATAAATAAAAAAATGTTTTTTAGATTATTTTCTAAAATGAAAGTTGATTCTAGATTATTAAACGCCACAAAAACCAGAGAAATGTTCCCCCTTAGTCTTTGTCGTTGCTTTATTTTCTTTACATTAAAACTTAAAGATTTACTCCTCCCAGCCAGTAGATGGCGCACTGACGTTCAGCCACTCCCATTCTGTACTGGCTGCCAGTCCAATGCCTCTTTCACAGATCACTCTGGGCAATTTCTCCATTCACTAGAACGCGAATACGGACTCATGTTCTCGCTAATTATGTTCTTAAAAAGAAGAACCCAGGAAAGTCTGGACTCTGGGAGAACAGGAGAAAGCAGCATAGATCTGGGTCAATTAGAACAGCAGCGTACTGATGACATCACCACATTCACAGCTAGTCTGGAGCTGCATTTCACCTCCTGTTATTAATAGTCTCTACATGATAATAAATTAGGACTTTATTTCATTTATTGGGGGAATAATAATGAACACAGTCAAATAAACATAAATCAAATGAAAATTTTGCTGCAGACGGGCTAACGTTAGCTCTGGCTGCTCTGGCTGCTGCAGACGGGCTAACGTTAGCTCTGGCTGCTCTGGCTGCTGCAGACGGGCTAACGTTAGCTCTGGCTGCTCTGGCTGCTGCAGATGGGCTAACGTTAGCTCTGGCTGCTCTGGCTGCTGCAGACGGGCTAACGTTAGCTCTGGCTGCTCTGGCTGCTGCAGACGGGCTAACGTTAGCTCTGGCTGCTCTGGCTGCTGCAGACAGACTAACGTTAGCTCTGGCTGCTCTGGCTGCTGCAGACGGGCTGACGTTAGCTCTGGCTGCTGCAGACGGGCTAACGTTAGCTCTGGCTGCTGCAGACGGGCTAACGTTAGCTCTGGCTGCTCTGGCTGCTGCAGACGGGCTGACGTTAGCTCTGGCTGCTGCAGACGGGCTAACGTTAGCTCTGGCTGCTCTGGCTGCTGCAGACGGGCTGACGTTAGCTCTGGCTGCTGCAGACGGGCTAACGTTAGCTCTGGCTGCTCTGGCTGCTGCAGACGGGCTAACGTTAGCTCTGGCTGCTCTGGCTGCAGCAGACGGGCTAACGTTAGCTCTGGCTGCTCTGGCTGCTGCAGACGGGCTAACGTTAGCTCTGGCTGCTCTGGCTGCTGCAGACGGGCTAACGTTAGCTCTGGCTGCTCTGGCTGCTGCAGACGGGCTGACGTTAGCTCTGGCTGCTCTGGCTGCTGCAGACGGGCTAACGTTAGCTCTGGCTGCTGCAGACGGGCTAACATTAGCTCTGGCTGCTGCAGACGGGCTAACATTAGCTCTGGCTGCTGCAGACGGGCTAACGTTAGCTCTGGCTGCTGCAGACGGGCTAACGTTAGCCCTGGCTGCTCTGGCTGCTGCAGACGGGCTAACGTTAGCTCTGGCTGCTGCAGACGGGCTAACGTTAGCCCTGGCTGCTCTGGCTGCTGCAGACGGGCTAACGTTAGCCCGTCTGCAGTTAGCCTCTGAGCTCCGCTGGTTGCCACAGTTGTCTCAACATCTGAACTTCTGCATGCTGCGACAGCTGTCAGTCAGGAGAACGGAGAAGTCTGCTCTGATGCATGCTGGGTAAAGAGGGAGGAGCCAGAACAACATCCTGGGACTGTCCGCTCTCGGTCTGCTGTTCTTGTGAATTGGAACGGTACTAGGGCTGAGGATGATGACGTTTTTTACGAGAACGCACAAGTACACATAGTGAGTAATGGCCTAAGCCAAATATAAACGCTCGCTCTCGACCAATCAAAATGATTTTAACGTCCAGGCAGCCTATAGAAATGAATAAATCCTGCCGCCTCCATGAAGACAGTGTGATCTGGAAAACAAAAAATGAAATGAGTAAATTCACAAAACAGAATAAAATAAAATTAGAAAATACAAAATCTGTTACAAGAAATAAAAAAACTAAAAACTCTGAGAAGAAAGCTTATCAACTAAAACCTTTGATTAAAGGTTTTTCAGTTTTGGATTAATTTGTTTTTCTAATTTCCATTTTTTTAATGGAACAAACTTCCCTCAATACGATAACTGAGGCGTTTATAATCCAGCTGACTTCAGCGGGACCTAAACCCTGGATTGGTTTAATCCAAACAGAACTTTAATCTGTGGCTGCACTCAGAGACCAAACCAGCAGCCAGGATGAATTTAAAGATGTTTTCGAAGCTTCAGCAGTTTTTCAGTGTTTTTATATCTTGTAGTTTTTTAGGATTCTCCTTTGAAGCTGAATTTCCAGAGTTTCTCTTATTGAGTTTTTTCCTCTGAAGCTAACAGATGATTCTCTGCCTCTCGCTGCTCCTCTGCTTCCTTCAGATATTTCTGATCTGTCCTGAAAACCAGCAGCTCTTCATTTCCTTCAGCTTCTCTCTCTAATGGGTGGGGGTGGGGGGGGGCTTTAACCTTGGTCTATCTCTCTGTGCTTCATCTTCTTCTTCTCTCTTCCTCCTGATGCGTGGGGCGTCCTCAGGCGTGGCGGTGGAGATCCGGCGTTCGGCGTCACTCGGAACAGCGTTGGGTTCAGGAGCCCGGCTCTGGGACCCGGGGTCAGCCGGAGGGTCAAGGAGAACTCTTTGGATCTGCAGGAAGAGGAGCCCCCCTCCCCCTCTCCTCCCACTGCCTCCCCTCAGCTGGACCAGCAGGGGGCGGGGCTCCCTGACGAGTGACACGCTTTATTTATGTTGGGATGCAGAAACCTTCCTACACTGAATGTTGATTCCTTCTAAAGATTAAACATATTTGAAATAGATCACAGCATTACATTTTAAGTTATTTAAATTATATATATTAATTAAAAAATAAAAGTTATTGGTTAATAAAGTATTTAAACAATATTTCTGAATAAATTATGTAAAATCTGATTGTTTCCAATAAATAAAGAGTACTGCTGGAGCTCAGTGTGTTTTTCTCTTGTTTCATTATTTCCTTCCTCACTGAAAAAACTTCAGAAGGTCGATGGACCTCAGTTGGGGGGCAGCTAAGATGAAAGCGGAGTTCAGCGATCAGGAGCAATATTTAAGAAAAAAGAAAGGAAAATTATTTTATGATTTTAATTATTGTTTTGTTTTCAATCAGAATTTGTAGGTGAAACTTTAATAGTGAGTAAAAAGCATAAATCAATATATAAAATAAGAGAAATGTTAATTTTCCAACCACATACTCTTCCTTTCCCACATCCACCTCTCTGGTCCTCCATTAACATTAATCCATCAGTTCCTTCATCCAAGATTTTCCATCCATCCAACTGTTCATCAAACAAATTCTTCCTCCATTCATCAATGCAAATATTTTCCATGTTTGACTTTGAAAGGAAAATATGGAAGAGGATTAGGGCCACTGAAAAAGAAAAAAAAGTTAACTGATTTTTTAATTTTATTTCAGTTTAAAATGGGAAAAAAGTCAGAATTCTGACTTTTTTCTCAGAATTCTGTCTTTAACCCTTTAAAGCCTGATCCAAGGATAAAACAAAACAGAAAATTCCTTTTTTTTTTGGTTTGAAGTACTTATTTGCCCTTTTAACAAAATATGTAAAAAGAAAAAACAGAAATAAATTTTTGATATTAATAATTTATTACTATGCGATAAGTCAAGATTATTTTTTGTGTAGTCTTCTACTGGCTGTTATCAGGCATATCTGATTGTGTACAATAGGATTTTGAGCAAATTTTTTTACCATTAAATTATGCAAAAGGTGTCAGAAGCAAAACATTTCAGAAACCGTATGTATCAAATATGATACATTTGGCATTACAGGGTTAATCTCAGAATTCTGACAGCTAACAAACATGTTAGGATCAAGCCCTAGCCATGTCTGTTTTAGAGACTAGCTCTCTTGTTGTAATGACCTTCTGCTCCTCCATTAATGAGGGGACCCCTCAGGCACGTAAAAAGTTGCCTAATACCGTCATTTTCCACCAATGTGTCACTGGCCACCTCAAACAACTCACATCTTTGTCAGTGAAGCTGAGAGCTCCACATCTCTGCCTTTATGGTGCCCATCTACATTAAAATCCAGAATTCTGAGATTAAAGTCAGAATACTGAGATTAAAGTCAGAATTCTGAGATTAAAGTCAGAATTCTGAGAAAAAAGTCAGAATTCTGAGATTAAAGTCAGAATTCTGAGATTAAAGTCAGAATACTGAGATTAAAGTCAGAATTCTGAGAAAAAAGTCAGAATTCTGAGATTAAAGTCAGAATTCTGAGATTAAAGTCAGAATTCTGAGATTAAAGTCAGAATTCTGACTTTTTTTCTCAGAATTCTGAGAAAAAAGTCAGAATTCTGAGATTAAAGTCAAAATTCTGAGAAAAAGGTCAGAATTCTGAGAAAAAAGTCAGAATTCTGAGAAAAAAGTCAGAATTCTGAGATTAAAGTCAAAATTCTGAGAAAAAGGTCAGAATTCTGAGAAAAAAGTCAGAATTCTGAGATTAAAGTCAAAATTCTGAGAAAAAGGTCAGAATTCTGAGAAAAAAGTCAGAATTCTGACTTTTTCCCATTTTAAACTGAAATCAAATTTAAAAATCAGTTAAATGTTTTTTTTTTCAGTGGCCCTAATCCTCTTCCGGAGGAAAAACATATAAATTAATATAGATATTATTCAGGGCTCAAACTTATGGCCTTAAAATCAAACCTCTGATTTTTCCAACTGAATCAGATCAGTGGATTTTTTTTCTTACCTGCATTTTCATAACAAATATGACAGAAATGACATAGACTGACATTAAAACACTAGCTTTATTATCAGTCTTCCCCTCTCGGTGGGGGAGCCTGATTTAAACAGCCATGAATGACCTGCATGTATGTTGCATGTGCGGTACATGAACGCACCTTTTGCACACGCCTCAGCTCCATGGTAATTGGAGGCGGCCATTCACCATCTTAATAAAAAAGGAAAACTTGGCTGCAAAACATGTCAAATATTCATGTTTCAGAACAATGAGAATATATTAACAAACTTAGAGCCTGCAGTGGAAACACAGGGAGCTGGTTCCTCAGAACTAAACATGATGAACTGATGCTAACATGAGAGAGGAGAGCATTGAAGGGAGAAAAAAATCAAGAGTTTTACAATATTTAAATTCTCATAAACACATGAATTCAATAAAATTGATTAGTCAGCCTTAATATTTATTTCATAGACATAATTTAAATTCTATTCAGTTTATTTCTATAGCTCCAATTCACATCATGTCATCTCAGGTCACTTTCCAGTTCACCAGATCATCCAGTCAGATTGATTCAAAGTTTTCTATCTAAGGAAAACCAGCTGATTGCATCGACTCATTGACTCTTCAGCAATCCCTCACACTAAGCATGCTTGTAGCGACAGTGGAGAGGAAAAACTCCCTTTGAACAGGAAGAAACCTCCAGCAGAACCAGGCTCAGTGTGAGCGGCCATCTGCTGAGGCCCACTGGGGTTCAAGGAGACAGAAGCAGACATAGAAAAAGAAGCATAGATACAAAAGGCAACTGTCAACCAGCTCCACAGGCGGCCCCGTCCAGGAAACACACAGCCAGGCAGACGAGCTCCGAGCCAGCTCCCATGTCAGAGGATGAAGAGAGCACATCCAGTTAGTCACAGTCAGAGAAAATGCAGGCTGAATTCACAGAGGACTTTATAAACAGATGTTCTGCAGAATATGAAGGTCTGTCAGTCAATTATTGTCCATGGATGAAGGAGAAGCTAATAGAAGCTCCTCAGAAAGCTTCGCTCAGCAAACATTTATCAGATGTAGAAACATTTGAGCTCAGGGCCACTGGAAGTCATTTTGAACAGCGTCTTAAGGCCTATTTAAAATACAATGAATAAAATTAAATAGATTGAGATTCAATACTTTCTTGTCATATACACTTCAGTCCAATCAGGGCCTGTAACACAAAGACATCATTAATCATGAACCAGGTGACTATATGCGCTATTAATTAAACTTCACAATAATAAGAAAAATTCAGTGGCTTTACGCCAATTTGAAAAGCCGACATTATCAAATGTCGTCTTTCTTAAATTTTTCTCTAGGTATGACAATTTTCTAACTGCTTTCAGACAAATGAAACACAAACTATGATCAGTCTGTTTCACATAATGCAGCCGCTGCAAACCAAGCCGGTGCCACTGAACCTGAGAACGTTTCATTACCTCGACACCAAGCAGGAAATTTTAAACTGGATGTTGGCGGGAAGGACTTGTCCAATCCAATCATGCTAGGTTGGGTTGCAGGTGCTGGGGCTGCTGTTGCACCTGCCATCACAGGCGGGCGCCGCGTGGACAGTCTGCTGCCTCCTGCTCTCAGGTATCGTGGTTAAGGTACCAGAGTTCTTCTTCGCTGGTGGTGGTTTTCCGAAAAAATCTGAAATGTGTTTCTATCATTGGACTCTGTAATTTACTAGTCTGCTGCAGCGAGCGGGATACCTCGCCGACCAATGGCTTGGTTGACGTCACCATGACAACGCAACTTTGGGGAACTTATGTTGATGATTAGGCCTAAAAATATAATTAAATTAAAATCCAAATAGATGTAATGGTAAAACAAAAAAAGTCGAAATAATTTTCCAAAACATTCATAAGAAATTTATAAAATTGTGCAAAGTCTCCTCTCGCCACTAGGGGGTGCCCTTCCCGCAGCCATGTTTTAGCACATTGAACCATTATTTGAACAAACCCAGTTTCTTTCATCTGAAACGTAGATGGGATGATATCAGGGGTAGGAGGAGTGATCCCTCAGAGTGCAACAATCCAAGCCACCTACTGTGTGGTCTTTCCTTAGGTCTCTACTCTGCAGATATTTCTACATCTAAGGGAAACATATTCCAGGACATTCAAACTTTTTTCTTTTTGGTACATTTCACTCTTTATATTGTCTGTTGTATTTTTATCTTTAATGACATCTTGCTTTAACTCTTTGCGCTCTATATAAGCTACTGGAACCAGACTTTCCCTGCAGAAGTAATCCCACGGGATAAATCTAATTGAGTCCAAGTCTAACTGAAACAAACATTAGAAAAAACCTTGGTCATGTTCTGTGGACGGTTAAAGGCTGGAGCTAAAAGGATGAAGGATGCAGCGATCGACTCAGTAGCTGGAAAGATTTTAGTGTCACAGATAATTGCAACTTCAGCCTTTTCAACACAATCACAACTCAAATATGGTTTAAATGAGACATTTTGCTTAGTTTAGGTTCTAATTTTAGTTTTCACTCTTCAAAAGTACAAAATGCATCAGAATACAAGCATTTTATTTCTCCTTTTTCCAGTGTCATTTTTACCAGTTCCTACAGAATCTAACATCCAGGATCATTTTAGAACCTAGCTCCACCAGATTAGCTCAACTTCCTCTGCAAAACAGTGAGTAAATAGTGAAAACACACTTTACATTTACATCAGTTTAAAGCAAAGGATTATGACATTCACAGTTAGAAACAAAATATGAAAAAACTGTTTTTACACAGCGAATGACGACGTCTATCAACGACGACGCAAACGAGACGTTTTTAAAGTGTTTTCTACATCCTGAAATGTGCTCTCTGCCTGCCCCTTTGGATATTACCATGGCAACCAGAGAAAACGGGTGGGAACCACCATGGCAACCAGAAAAAGGCAGGAAGAAATTACCATGGTAACCAGAGAAAACGGCGGGAACCACCATGGCAACCAGAAAAAGACAGGCAGAAATTACCATGGTAACCAGAGAAAACGGGTGGGAACAACCATGGCAACCAGAAAAAGACAGGCAGAAATTACCATGGTAACCAGAGAAAACGGGTGGGAACCACCATGGCAACCAGAAAAAGACAGGAAGAAATTACCATGGTAACCAGAGAAAACGGCGGGAACCACCATGGCAACCAGAAAAAGACAGGCAGAAATTACCATGGTAACCAGAGAAAACGGCGGGAACCACCATGGCAACCAGAAAAAGACAGGAAGAAATTACCATGGTAACCAGAGAAAACGGCGGGAACCACCATGGCAACCAGAAAAAGAGAGGAAGAAATTACCATGGTAACCAGAGAAAACGGCGGGAACCACCATGGCAACCAGAAAAAGACAGGCAGAAATTACCATGGTAACCAGAGAAAACGGCGGGAACCACCATGGAAAAACCATGGCAACCAGAAAAGGGCAGGAAGAAATTACCATGGTAACCAGAACAGGGCAAGAGGCAATTATTATACTGATGTAAATAACCATTTAATAAAAGAAAGGATATAATCCCAATCTGGGTTCTGTTTCAAGGTGTTCATGTTCGTGCCTAAAAAGTGTCTAGTAAAAGTTGCTATGGCAACCAAACAGTTGCAAAAGTTGGGGGCGGGGACTACAAATTCATGGCAATAATAAAATTTAAAACCACTTAAAAATTAGGGAAACACTGTTTATCTATATTTTTCTGCGCTCCTTTTCACCCTCTCTTTCCAAACAGAAAAAGTAGCCGAAGTTACCGTGGAAACCGATAGCTAAAACAAAAATAGTGACAAAATTCACCAGAGTGACCTAAAAATAAGGGCAGAAATCCTGATGGTTGAAACAAAAAGACAAATAAATCATCACTACTGAGAAGGAGAAAGGTGACCATGGCGACCAAGAAAGGCGGGAGTCGCTATAGCAACCACCTGGAAGTTGACCAATGAACAGTGATCCTTCTCTAAACTGTGTTGTTGTTTCCCAGAGCTTCAGTCATGGGTTCTGTCTCACTGAGCTTTAGAACAGAATGTGTTAAAGGAACCGAATGTGTTCCCTTTCAGACGGAAGCTTCTAGATCTTCACCTAAAAGACATCAACGTTCCCCTCAGGACTTATTAGGAACATGGAAACTAAAGATGGAGACCACAGAGGGAACATGGACGGTCATTAAGCAGAACATCTGCAGGTTAAATTCAGTTTCCCAGAATCGGAAGCAAACTTTCAAACATTTCTAATAAACTCTGGGATTTTGCTTCTTATTTAGTCTGAAACCATAAAAACACAACATCAGATCCAGACCGAAGCAGCAGGAACCAAAAGTCCAGAGTCTGAGTCCAACAGAAGTGCAAGTGCTGAAAAGGAAGTCCTACGAATTCATGAAAACACTCTGGTTCTAGTGTGGTCCATCGCGTCTCGGTCCAGTGAGGTTTGGGTCGTCCACGCCCACAGGGAGGAAGACGATGACGGCGATGGCTTTACTTCACAGCAGCAGCTTGGGTCCTGCTCCAAAGTCTAACCTCTTGACCAGCCTGCAGAAAAAGGGAAAGCTGTGAGTGAAGCGGACTCTGGTCCTCACTCAGCAGCAGAGCGCAACGCCTCACCCCTTGCTGTAGAGGCCGTTGGTAGGATGGTTCTCTGACGGGTCGCTCTGAGCCGGTGCTGATCCAGATCCGCTGCTGAGGCGTCTGCGGTTCGCCGTCTGCTCGTTGACAAAATCCCGACAAGATGCCAGCTTAGACTCCAGGCTCTGGAAGAGAGGAATAAAGCTCAGGATCAGCAATCCCCCATCAGCTACAGCAGAGCAGCGACGCACAGGAAACATTTAGAAAGCCTCCTGAGCTTCGTGGTAGATCAGGGTTTCTGCAGATTTCATCGACTGAAATACAGGAATTTAGAAAAACTTTTTAAAGACCATTCTGAATTAAATTTAAGGGTCCAGTATTCTGATTTTTTAACTCATTCACAGTCGCCTTCAGGCAAAAAAGATTGCCTAAAGGCGATCAAGGTGTGTCTTAAAGAATCACCCTCTAAGAATCACCCCTACTCATTTGCATAATGCGGCAGAAATGTAAATAAGAAAGGCAGAAATAAACAGCATGGAAGAAATAAAATACAAAGAAAGAATAATACAGACAAAAATAAATAAATAAAGTTGAAGAATATCACGGAGAATAAATAATGCAATTATAACAAAGGCGAATAAATACAGAAGCTAATTAAAAGAGATATATACATTGATGTCCATCTGTATAATTTAATTTCTACCTAAATTTATTTATTTATTGTATTTTTGGGAGCAATTAATTGTATGCTTATTTATTTATTTTTAATTGTGTTATGATTGGTCCTCCGTAAATACTGCATGTTTAAGCCAGAATGATTTGACATTAAATACGATAAAGTTTTTATTTAAAAGCCCAAAACACTATTTTCTGTGTCAGCAAAGTATCTGCGTGACGTCATGGCGAGGTGACATCACCATCTGTCCTTTTTTTTACTTTTTCAGTCAGTGGGACATAAGAAGAGGATCAGGCTGCAGGAGGTGAACTAATCTAGAGTTTCCACCAACATAGAACAGGGTTCCTACAGCATAAGGCAACTTAAATCCAAGACTTTTTAAGACTTTTTAATGCCACTTGAAATAAAAATTTAAGACCAAATTCACAAGAAACACAAGAAAACCCCAGCTTGCATCAACTTTACCCAAAGGTTTATTTTAACATAAACCACTGCACTAATGTTTCAAATGTTGAAAAGCTTCCCATACAGGAAGAAAGCTAAAAACACACAAATGACAGATATATTTGAACAATTATTTAACTGAATTCACAAACTTTGTTTTAGCAGGGAACAAAACAAATCAGTTTTAAAGCCCCAACATAACCAGTGCTAAGTCTTTTTTGCAGCTATTTTTCTTTGTATGGTTTTCTTAGTATGTTTGATTTGGTGATAAGTGGAGGCGTTGCAGAGACAAGGGTGGAACTAAACTGAGAAATACCGGCTGTTTCTCTCTAACTCCATTTTGACGCTTTGTGTTTCGTGCTTCGCATGTGCGACTCCACTGCCTTAATTCCCATCGTTCTGAGCTTGAATGACTTCTTGCACTAAATCCACTGAGCCTCATGTATGTTCCCTGGTTTTAGCCATGGAGAAAACTCTTGGCTGGAGACAATTTTGGTTACATTTACACTTGCTCATATTTTCCAGACAAAAAGTTAATGGTGCATCTCCCAAATGTCCCGGCAGCAACAACGCTTTATTGGTTCCGCTATCGGGACGGAACCAATAATGGCGAGCCGTTATTGGTTCCGTCCCCAAAAAAAGTCTATTTTAACGTTTTATTTAGATTACAAAAATAAATCGTAATAAAAATAATCCTATTTATGATTTTTTTTTAATTTAATTTTAATACCAATTAAGGCCTTAGTTTTATTTTGAAGAATTCAAGGCCTTTGAAGACTTTTTAAGGACCCGCAGGAACCCTGATAGAAACAAACTCTAGATCTTACCCCGACTTTCCTCAGCAGCTCGCCGACGATGTTGAGGGCGGAGATTCTGGCCGACGTGGTGAGAGGAGTCCCAGAAAGACTTTCAGCTGAGAACCAAACCAAACAGTGAACATCTGGACTCTGAGGGAAAAAGAAACGGTTTAAGGCGGAGCCTGACCTCTGCTGACGGACGGCGGGGGGGTGCTGAAGACCTCCGAGGACGCCGCAGGTCTGGACGGAGTAGCGGAGGGAGGAAGAGGATGGAGGGCGGACGAGGCCGTGCTCTTATCTTCCGTTCTCCTGTCTGGGGGGGTGAGCGGTGGGGTGGGAAAGGCCGCCGAGGAAGAGGAGGATGAAGGCTCTTTGATGGAAGGCTTCCTGTCCTGGACCTGCTGCTTCTGCTGCACGGCGAGCTCCTGCCGAAGATCTGCATCCAAAAAACACAGCGAGTCAGAGAGCTTCACCTGAAAGCAGGACGGCTTCTCCTCAGAACGTCACCTCTGGCTTCGTCCTTCAGTCTCTGCACAGACTCCAGGAGGTTCTCCTTCTCGTCCAGCTCGCTCTCCAGGAAGGCGTTCCTCTCTATCACCTGGTTCATCCTCTGCTCAAAGTCCTCCAGAGACATGATGGTGGCTCTGGGATCAGGAGAACATCGTTAGAATCTGCTCCCACAGACGCCCCTCCCTCCCTCCCTGCTGCCCCCCGCTAACCTCTTGGCCCTCTCCAGGTCGTCGTTGGCCTGCTCCAGCTCTCTGATGTACTTCTGCAGCTGATCTCTGATGGCCGTGGTCTCCACCAGGTCGCCCTCCAGGCTGGAGATCTGGCGGCACGCCTCCGAGTGCTGCGTCTCATACTTGTCCTTCAAGAAAGTAGAATAAAAAATGTCTTTTTGATAAATGGCGGCAGAGAGTCAGCTGATGAGGGCAGCTACTGGGCAGATTTCCACGGCGGTTCCACAGAAAGTTAAACATCAGAAGAACGAAGCAGCGGAGCGTTAAATGACAGCGGTGTGAAGCTTCAACATGTTCGGCCAAATTCCTCCCACATTCTGTCAGATAAGAGGCTTTTCTACTCCGATAACATCTAACATCCATTTTCTGTTCCCTCAACGTTGCATCCAGAGTTAGATGATTCAAACGCTTCCTGTGTTGAACGACACAAGCATCTAAAGGGCGCCATAATAGGCTCAGATTTCAATCAAACCTAAAACGTTACCATGATGTCAGAGCTGGCGTTTTGCTGCCTCTAAGCGTCCAGCTGTGTGCTGTCAAGGCTCAGGCAAAAAATCTCAGCGATGATAAGCTGCTGCCTTGAAGCTAACGGCTTCTTTCTGAACCATCTGAGCTCCTTAAAGACGGAAACATAAGGCAAACATTTAGCAGGCGTCATAGGAGCGGACGTCCAGCTAGTCCAGGTCAGGGCGTAAAGCTCTAAGAAATGAGGAAAACCAAAGAGCTCCAGCTCAGACGCTACAGGCATCGGTTAGCATCATAGCTCCATTAAACATTTCATCCCAGCGCTGCGTGTCCCGAGCCCGTGACATCATCTATAGCCCCATTTACACTACCCTTGAAAAACCGATCCAGGCCGAGACCGGTCCGAGCTTGGATCGGTAACCAGGCCAAGCTCAGTTTTGACGACCGTTCACACGTCACACTTATCTCGGTTATCTCGACTCCTCGCCTCCTAGTGACGATGTGCGGTATTACTGCTAGGATTGAAGGAGGGACTCAAGCAGCTGGTGGCGGTAATGCACCAAACGCTGTTTGTCAACCGCCGTAAAACCCAAGAAGAAGAAGACGAAGGAGGAGGGAATCAAGCAAATCAAAATGGCGGCGCCCGTCACATTCAGAAAGTTATGCTTGATTATTATTGCTGTACTTCCGTGTTTGCGGTGGGTCAGGCGAAGACGGCAACCTTGCGCGGATGTACTTGAATGGAGTGTGAATCGGCATGTTCAGCCAGTCGGCGATGACGCGTTCTGCTCAAGCGCTCTTGTTATCAGAGAACCGAGCCAGGAAAAAACCGAGCCGAACCCACCTCGGGAACTGGTCTGCAGTTAGCGCGGTCCGGTTATGTCTATCTCGGTTCAGTTCAGGTTGTTTCCGTTCACACACGACAAGTTATCTCAGTTACTGAGCTCGGACCGGTCTCGGCTCAGTTTTTTAAGGGTAGTGTAAACGGGGTAATTGACTCCTCACCCCCCCACCATGGACTGTTCTCCCTGCTGCCCTCTGGGAAGAGGCTTCACAGCATTCATTGCTGATCAACCCATCTACCTCTGATCAGCCTCATGCTAATCTGCACAGTGACAGCTACTGTTCCTAGTTTAGCTAATATCTTAAAACATGCATTCTAATGACTGTTTTAAACTCTGATACGTCTCAGACTCTTCAGCCTTCCCAAAGAAGAGTAGAATCGCCAGAGGAGGCGTGATACCGACGCTGCAGCAGCTCATAACCTGGGCCATAACCAGAGAGAGGTGGTGGAACAGGGAAGGGGAGGGTCTTTCTTCCAGGCAGGTGCATCGTTTACTTTAATATCTTTAGGTTTTTTCCCCAAAGGAGTTGATAAACGGGACAGAGAGGTTTATCTCCTGGGCATAAATCAGAGGAGTTTCCTGCTGGTTTGCAACCAAGGAAAACAGTTAAGCTGCATCTGTACTTTCCATCTAAGTGATTTCAGTTCAGCTAAATCTCATCTCTTCATCCTTGCCTCCCTGTCTGTCAGCCTGCTTCATTCTCAGACCCTTCTGTCCGTCGCTCCATTAGGCTGCAGCTGGTTGCTCATTACTGCAGCTAATAAATGAAAATAAAAGATCAATAAAAAGTAGTTCAAAAAGCAGCTTTAATAGGTTTGCTTTTAAGAATCTCCAAATAATAAGAGTAAGAAAATCTGCTTTTAAAGTTCAAATAGAAAACCACATACTTTTACTTTCTCATTTAACAGTATGCATAAAATTACATTTTCAGTATTTTGTTGTTTATAGCATAACATAATTCATTAAGATAGCAAATGACGCTAAACTCCTAGAAGCCGCTAGAAGTTCATTATCTTTCAGAACATTTTCGGCGTGAAGGCTGGCGGTCAGCGTTGGAGCCCTGTGTGCGGTGCTGGCGGTTCTGGATAGCAGGCTGTGATCTGCTGCTGTGCCTGGATGGGTCTGAACTGTGCATTCACCTAAGGTTTGTTGTTTTATGAAATAAAAAAATAAAAAAATCAGCTTTATTGCCATCAGGCAGTTTATTAAAGCTATAAAACAGAGAAAACAAACCGTTGATACTTTGGTAAATTGAATCCAGCGGATGCTGTGATGTATTGGTTTGGATGCCACAGATTGTCCGGTAGATTTTTGTCTAATCTATTTACTATTTATCAAACCTTTGGATAATTTAACATTTCTTTTCCCAATCCTAAACTTTTCCTAAAATTGGCAGCAGTACAGTAGACCATTGTAATGATGTTTTAAGCATCCTTTCAGATCCTTTCTGTACACCCGCCGGAGGACGTTTGACTACACCGACGTCACAGCTGGGTTTCATGACGTTTTACTGCTCTCAGATCGCTAGAGGCGCCCAGCGTACTGTAAAAGTCTCTCCATTTTTATCACTTGGAGCATTTTTAGTGCAATTTAGACCAGCCAGATAGAGAAAGGAAAGGATAATCTACCATCACGCACCATAAAACTGCTCTGAACACACTTCTTTCTGTTTGACCTTTAAAGACCTTTAATTATTTTCACATCTGGCTTATTTTTTGATCAAACATGAAATAAAATAAAGTATAAAATAAAGAATACCAAAAATAAAAATCAAGCTGATTGAGGACTGAGCTTTTTATTTTATAGCGACAGATTTTGTCCTGATCCAAACCCAAAACTTTGAGTCTGTTTACTGCAAACAAGAGTCGCTTCTGGATCGAGCTAAAGAAAAAAAAAAACATCAAACATGTGTTTGCTAATAAAGCAGCAGGCGCTACAAGTGTCGCCACTCTGAGCCTGATTATAAAGTGATCAGATGAAGAGTTAGAACAAGCATCGCCTCCAGACACAGAGAGGAGGAGGAGGAGCTGTCAGCTGCCTTTTCAGCCGTGAATCGATCCTCTGTGAAGGCAGAGAACTGGAGAGAAACGCATTCACTGCAGGCAAACTGGCTTTATTATCAGCTGACTGATATGAAAATCCCCAGTTAGATGCAAGCCGCTCAGCGGGCGGCTGGTTCCATGCAAATTAGACCAACTCCTGCAGCTGAGAGCAGCTCCGGTACCGAACATGTTAGATTTAGCGGACCGCGATCCAGATCCACCTGCTGGATAATCCAGACCAAACCTGATAACATTTATAAATTACTGCATGTTGTCTGACGGCAGTGTCTAACTTCACCTGCGCCTCTTCTCCTGTTAATACGGTAAAGCCCTGGGGAGCGTCCGGCTCCAGGCTGCACGTGATCCAAATGAGCCAATGAGCTGTCAGTCTGGGTTGCTGCTGCTGCTACTTTTAGACACAGCAGGCAAACCTGTGGCAAGCCGGGCGATGGGAAAGAAGGAGAAGACCATGAGAAAAAGAGAGCAGAGAAAGTGTGGACTGCTGGAAGAACTGCGGTGAACTGGTGAAAGAAAAGTGAAATGCGTGCTCAAAGATGACCCTGCACATTTAGAGGATGTTTGGCTCAACCTGCTGCTGTGAAGCAGGATTCTCCACCATGAACAGAATCAACAATAAGATATTTAATCTCCATTCAAACCCAGGTTTAAAGCCATGGTTCCTACGGCATAGCCTCGTGAGACCATCCTGATCTCGCGAGCTTTCAAGGTTTCACTCGCAGATCAGTCTGGAGACTCTCCGTTAAAGAAAAATTGGAGCCGTTCACCAAACGAACGTCCAATCAGCGTTGGCTTTGAGGCGGGTTGAGGTGTGACGCAACGAGAAGCTCGACCGTTCAGTCTAAAGAACATGGCGGCTTCAGCCGATGAAACTAGCGTTAGCGTGGCTATCGAGCAAGTTTTATCGGAATTACTTCACTGAAAGAGCAAAACACTGCTCTGGAGGCTTTTCTCAGAGGAAAAGATGTTTTTGCTCTTCTCCCGACTGGTTTCGGCAAGAGTAGCCTGGCTTGTGGTTGTGTTTTCGTCGTCGCTCTGTTAGTACGTCATATGCTTTGTTGATCTGATTGGTTTATTTGGCCCGTCTATCACCACCATAGGCCAATCAGCTAACCAGTATTTTCGCCCCTTCCCAAAATTACTTCAACGGAAGGTTTCCAGATGGATATGCGGAGCAAATCCATCTGGCGGAGTTAGGTTACCTACAGCATAAGGCAAGTTAAATTTAAGACTTTTTAAGACCTTTTAATGCCACTAAAAATAAAAATTTAAAACCAACTTTACAATAAACACAAGAAAATCCTGGTAGTGACAGATTTACCCCGAAATGTTTATTTTAACATAAAGCATACATTTTTTGGCCCAGTATGTTTCATAAGACTTTCCATATAGGAAGAAAGCTAAAAACAAACAAATAACAGTTATTTTTAACAACTACTGAACTGAATTAACTAACTTTGTTTTGTTCCCTTTCATTAGTGGCGTACCACCAAACATTTTCCTGAGATTTGGTTCTACTGGTGCCGTTGGTGATGTGAGAGATACTGTGGAGGCGTTGCAGAGACAGGGGTGGAACAGAAAGCAGAAATACTGCTTCTCCATAACTTGATTTGGACACTTTGAGTTTCACGCTTCCCACATGTGTCTCCGCTGCCTTGATTCCCATCGTGCTTAATATATATTCCTCTTGGATGGATAGCCAATCTTTCGTAATTTAAAACTTCCCTGCTTTGTCCAGATAAAAAGTTAAAGTCACATCATCCCAAGGTCCAGCCGCAGCATCTTTTTTATTGGTTCCGCTATCGGGACAGAACCAATAATGGTTACAGCGAGCGGTTCGGTAAATGTAAGAAAAATATTGTCAATTATTTTATTGTTTGATATCGCTTACAAAAATAAAATCCTATTTATGATGTGGTAACAATTTTAAGACCTATAAAAGACTGATTTAGGACATTTTAATACCAATTAAGGCCTTGATTTTATATTGAAGAATTCAAAGCTTTTTAAGACTTTTTAAGGATCTGCGGGAACCCTGTAAGCCTTGCAGGGCAGCCTAAAGCCCACTGCCAACATTAAGACGGAAAAAAGAAAGAAAAGTAACAAACGATCATTTCAGCTGTTTGAGAAAATATGGGAATCAGGAAATTGTCTATAAATCAAACTGAAAGATTGTTGTTCTCTACTTCAAAAAACACTTTAGATTTTAAAATAGAAAAAAGTATTTTTTTTATATAAAAAGTCAATGTATGGTTGCTTAAACACCTCATTTTATTTCAGTGTTAAATTCAGTTTAAAGCACCCGATTATAATTGAAAACGTCCCCAGACCTTAACCGGTTGATGATTTTCTTTACTCAAACCCTGCTGATCTTTAATTGGTTACCTCTGTGTTAGATGGTGAAATCCTGCCCTGCAGGTTAAAGGTAAGTATAACTGCAGGTCCTTAGAAAATGTTTGCATTAATTCAAACACGTTTTAATCCCTTCAACCCCCATTGATCTGTGATCACCGACAGCTTTACAGCCTCGTCTTCCAGCAGCTACCTTGTAATTTTCCAGCTCCATCCGCAGACGGTTATTGGTGGTGAGAAGCTCGCGGTTCCTGGCCTCGCACTGCTTCAGCTCCGTCTCCAGCTCCACCTCGTAGTCCCGACTCATCTGCTGGAACTCCTGCAGCTCCTCCTGAGCCTCTGCAGCTCTGCGGACCAAAAGGAGACGCAGGATAAAGTATAGCACCGTGGTTAACGTGTCGCCTTTGGATTCTGTTTCATTAAACCAGAGGAAACAACAGGAGGCGTTTTCCACACAACAGCAGTATCTGCTTTTTAATGTGACTCTAGAGCCCCATTTAAACTACCGCCTAAAGCCGATCTGTGCCAAGCTCAGTTACTTACGACTGTTTACACCCCACGCTAGCGAGGTTCCTCGCCTCCTAGTGGCGATCTATGGTACTACTGCTCTCTAGAGTAAAACAAGCAAACCAACATGGCGGCGCCCGTAACTTTCAGGAAGTTTGTGGAGAGTCAAGCGAAGAAGGCAGCCTTTGGTGAATTTCCTTGACAGATTCAGCTTTTGGGAAATGGAAACAACAAACGATAGTCTAATCAGGGCTTCCAGACGCAGGAAACAATGACAGACATTGAGGTTCATCACACTGCTAAGCAGAATCATCACTGGAAATCGTGCGGCACGGTAAGAAAGCTAGGATTTTTATGAATGTCTCAAATTTCCTGATTACGTAGGCTGGCTGTAAGGAGATGACGCGGTCTGCTCATGCACTCTTTTACCCCATTTACACTACCCTTGAAAAACCGTGCTGAGACCGGCCCGAGCTCAGTAACTGAAAAAACTTATGGTGTGTAAATGGAAAGCAAACTGAACCGAACCGAGCTAACTGCAGACCAGTTCCAGAGGTGGGCTCGGCTCGGTTTTTCCCTGGCTCGGTTCTCTGATAACAAGAGCGCATGAGCAGAACACTTCATCTTCGTCTGGCTGCACATCGCGATTCACACTCCATTCCAGTAGGTGGCGGTAATGCCCCTCCGGAAGTTGCTTTCCAACCAACACAAAACAGAAGAACAACTAAGTTAAGCCGACTTTCTCAAGTAAATTCAGGAAACTTTGCTGTGTTCGCTTGACCCTCTGCAAACACCGAAGTACAGCAAAAATAATCAAGCATAACTTTCTGAAAGTGACGGGCGCCGCCATTTTGATTTGCTTGATTCTCTCCTTTTTTGTCTTCTTCTTCTTCTTATGTTTTATGGCGGTTGGCGAACAACTTTCAGTGCATTACCGCCACAAACTGCCTGATTTCCTCCTTCAATACTGGCAGTAATACCGCAGATCGTCACTAGGAGGCGAGGAGTCGAGGAACCGAGATAGCGTGATGTGTGAACGGTCGTCAGAACCGAGCTCGGCCTGGTTAACTGATCCAAGCTCGGACCGGTCTCGGCATGGATCGGTTTTTCAAGGGTAGTGGAAATGGGGTATATGTTATCTGAGAACCGAGCCAGAACTGAACCACGTTGAGTCCTACTGATGAACTACTACCATGTTAGCGCGGTTTGGTTGTGTCTGGCACGGTCCAGTTCACCTGTGCGTTTCATTTAAGCTCAGTTATCTCAGCTACAGCGCTCGGAACGATCTCAGCAGTTTCAATGTGGCCTATGCCTGCTTCTGTCTCCTTGAACCCCAGTGGGCCTCAGCAGATGGCCGCTCACACTGAGCCTGGTTCTGCTGGAGGTTTCTTCCTGTTCAAAGGGAGTTTTTCCTCTCCACTGTCGCTACAAGCATGCTTAGTGTGAGGGATTGCTGAAGAGTCAATGAGTCGATGCAAGCAACTGGTTTTCCTTAGATAGAAAACTGTAGAATTTACTGAACCAGTCTGTAGTACGATCTGGTTGAATTGTCTCTGTGACGTGACTTGAGATGACTTGATGAAAATTGCCGCCATATAAATAAACTGAACTGAATTAAAAGTTGTTGGTTTTAAGATTCAATACACCCAGAAACTGGTGAATGATGGGAAACTTTAAAACTTTGTGAGCAGAAGAGCCAAACCATGGGGGTGGGGGGTTAGAGAAGGAGATGCTGCAGCTGCTGATTAGAAGAGGGAGCGCCCTCCTCACCATGAGGTCGGTGCTGCGTTCACTCTGCTGTCCTGAAGATCAGCTGAAAGATTTTTGCCAAAAATTGTGTTTATTTTCAATCACAATTCAGATTTTAAAAAAGTATTTTCTATGCATTAAACACAAGCTTTTATATTTTTTCCTATGTGCTTTTCATTTTTTCTTAACCTCTAAATCTTTCTATTATTGCAGGACTTTACTGTAACCTTTGCATAAAAATATCATAATTTATATGCTGGTGAAGATCCTCAGTCATCCAGGTCATAATCATTCCAAAAAAGTAAAAAAAAAGAAAAAAAAAACAATCCACTGGACTTTGTTTCCAGGTCTGAAGACGTTTCTCTTCCATCCAGGAAGATTTTTCAATACAAAATGTCAGAAATAGCCTTTAGTTCCAGGTTTTATCCAGCAGCCTAACAGAGCCTTGATTTTGTTTAGAAAACATGCAAATAGAAACGGATGAACGGGTCCCCCCCTTTGGAATGGGGGTCATTTGACTTCTTTTGTTAGCCCTTTCAGAAACATAGACAGGTATGGGGCTAACAAAAGAAGCCAAACGGCCCCCATTCCAAAGGGATGGAACAGAACCTTCCCAGAATGAGTAATGCGCTGGAAAACATGTGGAAACCTGAAGAGGAAGGATTAAAGGAAAAGTCGTTCATATTCAGAATTCAAACTTCTGAAAGTTCTTTAAATGTGAAATGATTCCATCCTGTTCAATAAATGATCAGTGTTTTTAATTCGGAGTAATTTTCATGTGAATGTGCTTTACTGGAGGCATCCATGTTTGTCAAAGAACACTACTGCCACCTACTGGTTAGTGACGTCACGGTGCGGTATCGGCTGTTGATCAAGTCCCAGTGCTGTATCTGGTGTTTGTCACAACGCGCTATTATCCAAGTCATCTTGAAAACATTCTTCTTCCAAATGTTGGCTACATATTACGGGTTTTTTCTCTGGCCAGAAGTTCGATGGCAAATCCTCCCTCTTCAAGTTGGCGATCCAACGACCAACCCGTCCGTGGAGGATCAGGAATCAGAAAGATGGAATAACTCTTTTTTTCCACTTTTACCCGATGTATTCCAGCATCCAGCTGCCATGCACGTGGGCATTGTCAGTTTCACTATAGCTCTGGTGAATTTCAATGGTGAAGTCCTCTGGAAATCTTCAATAATTGTTGTTGATTGCAGATGTGTCTAGTAGTTCCCATTGATTTAGCTTGTAAAGCGGGGAGAATGGCGCTAGGCTTACCGCACCGTGACGTCACTGCTGGAAGATGGCAGGAGGGAGGGGTTACTAGATTTGGGCAAAGATGGCCGCTCCCAGACTCAGTGATCGGGACGAAAATTGTTTTTTTATTTTTATCTTATTACTGATTAATGCTAAATTAATTAAATCACCATCAGAATATTAGTTTTAGGTATAGAGAATGATCCATCGATCATTCCTCACTGACAGGACTTCTCCTTTAAAGTTGTGCGTTAAATACTTTCAGTGAAACTAGGAAGATGAACCCACATCTGCTGCTGTTTGGCCGCCTGCTCCTTCCAATATTCCAGCTCCTCCTCTACAGATCCGAACTGAGGCGGTTCCTGATCCTCCATCGCCAGCTCGGTCACGGATCACGGCCGGCTCTTCTGTCCTAAACCCAAAGCAGTTCCTGGGAAAAAAAAAAAAGACAAAAATGATTCAGGGAATCTCTCTGATCAGATTTCACAGATTTTGGTCACGGTGGCTGAAGTTACTGTGGGGGAACCACTGAACGGGTTCTGGAAACTAGGAAAAACAGACATTTCCCAGGTTTGTCAAACATCTGCTCTTTACGTCGATGGATACGGATTAGGGACTGAGGGCTGGTGGCCAAATACCAAAACAGCGCTTAAAAATAAACCGAGACGCATCAACCCTCCATGGACTTCATCAGCAGGACAAGTTGTTCTTCCATCATGGGAGGAATGTGCAGAAGGAAAACAAAGCGTGGTCTTTAGACATTTTTACAAATAAAGATCTAATAAAGACAACATAATTACATTGTCTCATTTTAAGTGCATATTTTCTAATTATCTTATTCTAAGAGTAAAAATACTCGTTCCACTGACAAATGATCTTATTTACCTGCTCAAATTAAGAGTAAATTCACTTAATTAAAAACATTTTCACTTATTTCTAGATCGTTTTTGCAGTGTAGGTTTAAAACTTTCCTTTTTGATAAAGCTTCTAGTTAGAGTGGCTCAGGTTATCCTGAGCTATCTCTATAGTTCTGCTGCTATAGGCTTAGACTGCTGGAGGACATAGGGACCCCTTTTTCATCATTCTGCTTCATTCTATCTCTATTCTCCCACTCTGCAGAATCTGTTAGTTCAATCTCTAACGTTCTGCTCTCTCTGCTTTTTCTCATAGTAGCTTCATCTGGTCTGTTCCTGTTTGGCTGTGACTCCATCCTGGAGAGAAATATCAGCTGTGCTGCTTCCATCAACACCTTTGTTTATAGATGTTGGAGATCGGCCTGTTTTTCAGTGTAGTCCTGTTTCTCTGACTGTGACTAACTGGATGTGCTCTCTTCATCCTCTGACATGGGAGCTGGCTCTGAGCTCGTCTGCCTGGCTGTGTGTTTCCTGGACCGGGCCGCATTTTACAGCTGCTTTTTGTATCTATGCTTGTTTTTCTATGTCTGCTTCTGTCTCCTTGAACCCCAGTGGGCCTCAGCAGATGGCCGCTCACACTGAGCCTGGTTCTGCTGGAGGTATCTTCCTGTTCAAAGGGAGTTTTTCCTCTCCACTGTCGCTACAAGCATGCTTAGTGTGAGGGATTGCTGAAGAGTCAATGCCTCGATGCAATCAGCTGGTTTTCCTTAGATAGAAAACTTTGAATCAATCTGACTGGATGATCTGGTGAACTGGAAAGTGACCTGAGATGACATGATGTGAATTGGAGCTATAGAAATAAACTGAATAGAATTAAAATGATAGAATAAAGGAGCAGATAATAAAAAAAAAGTCAAAAATAAAGTGAGGCTCTTTATACAGACCTGATGAAAAACAGGTTTTTGTGATGGGAATAAACAAGAGAAGGTTTAGTTAATCACTAAACTAAAATGTAAACTAAGGTTAGAAACACAAAACCATGAATAATGGTAGGATAAGGAATCAAGCTTAATGCTTTCCATAAATTCTTTCTTTTTTCTCCCTCACTTTTGATCACTACTGCACTTTGAAAAAATGGAAATGTTCATTTACTGTCTGAAAGCTGTACTAAACGAAACGACATTTAAAGAGGTCTAAGTCAAAGTCAGTATTTTGGTCTTCTTTAGCCCTCCTCAGGTGACCACCTAGATATTCTGTCAGATCTAGATCTGGATAGAGACAGAATCAGGCTGAGGACATTTTTTACTGATATTAGCATGATTTGGTATCAGACGTTGATACCAGTTGTTTTGTTTGATTTGATCTGGCCGAGAGAATAATGCAGTTGGGGCGGTTCGACTGATGGTAAAATAATAGATATTTAAGAATATATATTAGTCTATCTTTTGTTCTGGATTCAGGCCAGACTTTCTCAAATCTTTATAGCAAATATTTATTTGGACTCTTCATCCGGTAACATAGAACTGTAGCCTAAAGACCAAGTTCAGCTTCTTCAGGTCGTTTCCACTTGGAAGCAAAGATGTTTTATTCAGAGAAAAACTAAACGTTTTGTCAAACAAACCAACTTAATTCAGAAATATGTACAAAACCAGAGATTATTGTAGAACCAGAACAGCAGCTTCTTCTGCTTTTCATCTCTTTTATTCAAGTTGGAACAAATGTGCAGTTTTTGAAACGCTGTTATTGTTCTCGGCTGGCTGCCTTCACTGGGTCATGGTTTGCATGAACAATGAGATCTTTTAGATCAACATCTCTGCAAACTATGGCCTTGACTAAACGATGCAAATGGTAGGAAAATCCCAACCGGTCCTTAAACTTCAAGTGTTATTAGATTCCCCACAGTGTATGTCAGGGTTTTTTACCTACACCATTAAAAATGGAGACATCCTCAGAAGTAATTTGGAAAATGGAGCCCAGGCGGACGTTCAACTGAAGAAACTGGTTGCTCTCCTATAACCACCGACGACACAGCCAATCAGCTTTGAACCACACCTCAACGAAAGCCAATCAGCATCCAAAGTTAATCTTAAAAAGCCTCCGATACGCAACTCGTCATCTCCTAGTGTGCAGGCGGTGGATGCGCTGTGACTTCATGCAGATGACCCCGTTTAAACCCCCCTCCAGCCCCTCCTCCACCATCGTAGCTAAAGCTTCATCAGAGTTTCATTCCTCCTGGACTCTCACTGCGTTCCCTGTCTCATCTCAGTCGGTCTGGCAGAAGACCGCCATGTTTAGCCTGGTTCTGGTAGAGGTTTTTCCTCTCCACTGTCGCTTCATGCTTGCTCCTAATAGACAGGTTCTCTCATCCTGTGTTATCCAGCTGGACTTCCATCTTCCAGGTCCCTGAGTGAAGCTCTAGTATCAGCTCACAGAGTCCACTGGATCTCCCCATAAAGCTCAGCAGACCGTCTCTCTAACCAGCAGTCTACAGACTGACCAACTTCATCTTTCTCCACTCCACCACCAGTTTCAGGCCTGGGGGGGAAACAGCCCTTTTCTTTGCTCCTGTTCATGCATATCTATCAAAATTAAGCGCTATGTTTCCTGCCAAGGTCTGAGCACCAAAGAAAAAGTAATTGTATCAATAAATTTCTTCTAATTGTCTTTTCTCTTAGTGTGAGTTTTTCAGATTAAATTAAACATCGGCCGATTGCAGGTTTTTTATAATCTGATTTCAATATCACATATTTTGACATCAGTCTAACCCTATACAAGCTAATAACCCTAAACCTGCTGTTCCCTCTGCTAGCCATCTATTGTGGATTTATTTTAGGGTTTTTTTGTTTACATTTATAAAGATTCATTTAAAGTTATAGAGAAGCGGCTGTTCCAACGGTTGCAGTTGCTAACCAGTTAGCAACTTAGTGCTAGCAGGTTCCCAATGGGAAATTCCATTGGGACCAAGTAGCACTAAATTGGTGACTTAGAAACGACACTGTCAAGGAACGCTATGGACAGAGGAAACATGCAAGAGGAGGAGAGTTTAGTGTCGGAGGTCGTGGATGAGTCTCCTCCGTCGTCCATTTTTTATTTAGAGGAGGAAAGCGGGGACGAAGATGTTGTGGAAGAGGACGCCAGGGCGGCAGAAGCTTGGTTTGGTGTAGAAGGCTTCCAGCCGTACATGTTTGAGCCCTTGCCTCGCAACGCTGCCAGTTCTGTTAGCTCTACGCCTGCTGAAGACACAGACGTCCATCCCCGTGGACACTGGGACGCAACTCAATGGGAAAGGAAAGGATTCTGATTTCAACCGTTGCGTATATTAGCTGCGACACATGAATCAAGATGCTATGAGCGAAAACATTTGATTGGCAGATGACCCTTGATATATGATTGGATGAATTTAGGTGTTCAGGCTGATGTAGAACTAACTGGCCTGCAGAAGATAATGGAAAAACAAAACAGGATTTTTATAAGAATAGAATTTTTTTTTAACTTTTGGGACAATATGGTCTGATAAAGAGCACATTTATACACATGTTTAAGCCAGAAGGATTGAAATTTAAATATAATTTCTAACATTTTTTAGCATTAATTGTAATTTTTTGGGGTTTTTTGCAAATTGAAGAAAGAAAAGCAGAATCTACTTCAAGAATCAGAACCAAAAATATCAGGGATCGGTCAGACTATTTAAAATCCAAAACTTTAAGCACAATAAATCCATCTTTTTTATTCCTATTTTCTCTATTTGTTTCAATCTCCTCCTATTAGCTGAAAGCAAATTAGTGATAAATTATTATCTTTCAAATAGAGCTATTTAATCTGTTATTTGATAAGATATTATTATTTATACTTTGATTAATAGAAAACAGTGTAAAGTTTTTAATTTTTCCTTCCTCTAAAGTGATCAGATATCATTTTGATTTATTTATAAAAGAAACTTATATAATTTTTAACCATTTACATCAGAAAATAGTCATGAAATTATTAGTTTGGTTTATTATTAGTGGCTGCCGAACGATGAGTTTAATTAACACACAAAAATACATTTTAAGTGAAATTTTTATAGAGTATTTATATTTTAAATAATGTATTTAATAAAGAGGAGGTCCAAAATACGGAACCAACAGAAAGCTAGCTAAAAATAACGAAAATTCACAACCGCTCGACTGTTAATAGTGACAAACCCAAACTATTTTTAAAGTTAGTAATGAGTAAATATTATCTATAAAACCAAAGGTAGAATAATGAGAAAATTGAAGGAGTAAAACTAAAGTTATCGCTAGCTGCTCCGGCTAACGGAGTTTAACCGTTTAAATCCCAACATTGACCCGTTTACCTCTTATACGCTATTTTAAACTCTTTTATTCACCTAAACATCACTCAAAACGTTCCAAAAAATGTCACTTTAACCATAAACCAACAGTTCGAGGAGACTTTAGGACAAAAAGATCGATTTAAAGTAATAAATCAGACTTGCCTTGAGTTGGAAGTCACAAAGTTGCTCGCCGCTTCGGGAAGGAGTCGAACAATAAATGTTGCCATTCATTTTGTCCCTATCGACTGACCAATAACAAGTCAGATGACGTTCTTGGTCTCTGACATGATTGGACGCTCTTCTGCCAATCACATAAAACGGGCGGGCTATAGACTTTGTTGTCCAATCAGAGTGGGAGGAATGGACACAGGGATGTTTGTATTAGTTTTGATGATTAACCAGAGTGTGGTGCTGTTTTAACGCAGTAGGTACAAAGAACAACGATTTTCAGAAAAAAGTGGGAGTTTTAATTCCAAATAAAACGGTTCTTATTTATGTTCTAATTTAATTTTCATAATTAGTTAACCTTTTAGGTTTTAATACTGTTAAAAGTGTTGTGAAAACAAAACTTGGCTTGTTTAACCTTGGAAATGACTTTCCAAATAAATTAATTACAGTCTACAGGTGAAACACATAATATCACATAGAATAGAATAAAATAAAATAGAATAGAAATATTCTATATAGGTAAACTTATAGAAAGTTGGGAAATTCATCTGTATAAGAAGGGGCAAAGAGAAACGTTTAGTGTAAAGATACAGTCCAGATTTCAAAATGACACACTGAGATTAACCAAACATGACACTGAGTTGGGTGATTTTGAAAGTATACAAACATGCACTTATAGCTGTGCAGAAGATAAAGAAAAAAGAGCAGAAAAATATGCAGGAAGTTCAGTCCAGGTAGTTTGGGTCATGGGGGCCCAACATGATCAGTTATATGGAGGCAGGTAACATACCAGGTAAGATACGTTCAACTTCAGAGGCTTTAGAAATAAACATAGTGAAATAAATAACTCAGATGTAGAAAATAAATGGTAAAAATGCTAAATAAATACTGTGCAACTGATTATAGCCTCTGATTTGTTATTTTTAAAGAAATATTTGATCAAACAAACATACAACTGTTGGCAAAATGTTGGATTGTAAAGGCTTAAGTATAAAATACATAAAATAATAAACTCATGCAGAAGAAACCAATTTCTAAACAGCTTTTGGGGGAGACATACACTATATTGCCAAAAGTATTTGCTCACCCATCCAAATTATTGGAATCAGGTGTTCCAATCACTTCCATGGCCACAGGTGTATAAATTCAAGCACCTAGGCATGCAGACTGTTTTTACAAACATTTGTGAAAGAATGGGTCGCTCTCAGGAGCTCAGTGAATTCCAGCGTGGAACTGTGATAGGATGCCACCTGTGCAACAAATCCAGTCGTGAAATTTCCTCGCTCCTAAATATTCCACAGTCAACTGTCAGCTGTATTATAAGAAAATGGAAGTGTTTGGGAACGACAGCAACTCAGCCACGAAGTGGTAGGCCACGTAAACTGACGGAGCGGGGTCAGCGGATGCTGACGCGCATAGTGCGAAGAGGTCGCCAACTTTCTGCAGAGTCAATCACTACAGACCTCCAAACTTCATGTGGCCTTCAGATTAGCTCAAGAACAGTGCGCAGAGAGCTTCATGGAATGGGTTTCCATGGTCGAGCAGCTGCATCCAAGCCATACATCACCAAGTGCAATGCAAAGCGTCGGATGCGGTGGTGTAAAGCACGCCGCCACTGGACTCTAGAGCAGTGGAGACGCGTTCTCTGGAGTGACGAATCGCGCTTCTCCATCTGGCAATCTGATGGACGGGTCTGGGTTTGGCGGTTGCCAGGAGAACGGTACTTGTCTGACTGCATTGTGCCAAGTGTAAAGTTTGGTGGAGGGGGGATTATGGTGTGAGGTTGTTTTTCAGGAGCTGGGCTTGGCCCCTTAGTTCCAGTGAAAGGAACTCTGAATGCTTCAGCATACCAAGACATTTTGGACAATTCCATGCTCCCAACTTTGTGGGAACAGTTTGGAGCTGGCCCCTTCCTCTTCCAACATGACTGTGCACCAGTGCACAAAGCAAGGTCCATAAAGACATGGATGACAGAGTCTGGTGTGGATGAACTTGACTGGCCTGCACAGAGTCCTGACCTCAACCCGATAGAACACCTTTGGGATGAATTAGAGCGGAGACTGAGAGCCAGGCCTTCTCGTCCAACATCAGTGTGCGACCTCACAAATGCGTTTCTGGAAGAATGGTCAAAAATTCCCATAAACACACTCCTAAACCTTGTGGACAGCCTTCCCAGAAGAGTTGAAGCTGTTCTAGCTGCAAAGGGTGGACCGACGTCATATTGAACCCTATGGATTAGGAACGGGATGTCACTTAAGCTCATATGTGAGTCAAGGCAGGTGAGCAAATACTTTTGGCAATATAGTGTATATTGTTTATTTATGTTTAATTTCTTTAGATTACTATTTGGTAAATTGATGCATTATTATATATAGATTAAATATCGAATAATTAATGACAGTCTTGGGCCTATCAGGTGGTTAGACCCCGGATTGACTGTCGTGGCGCAGGAATTAGGGCGCTATCTTGGTATGGTCGACCTGCTACCCTAACCTGCTGCTTTCAGTAGAACAGAAGAAGGATGCCTCATCACTGTGCAGAGTATTTTTGTTTTAATCAACAGACTGTTGGAAGACATTACTAAATAAACAGCATAAATACACCACATAGAATAAAAACTCCCTTTGTTGTCCCACAGTGGGTAAATTGTGGTGTTACAGCAGCAAAGGTTTATAGCAAAAGTGATCGCACAAATGTGGACCTTAAAAAGTTCATAAAAATAATAGATTAAGTTGAAAAAAAATATCCAATTTAATTTGTTAAGCACTTAAAAACAACCACAGCTGACCAAAATGCTGTTAAGAAAAATAAATTAATAATAAAAAAGTATAAATAAAATTTGTTTTTATAAAACATGGGTAAAAATAACATTCACATAAAATAAATATAAAAAATAAAATAATAAAATACCGTACTGTTTTTACAAATATAAACACTGTGCATCTGAAGAATGAATAATCAATATACAGATGTTTACTGTATTTTACAATATTTGTAAAAAATATTATATATAGAAATATTGTAAAAATACTGTAAAAATGTCCACAGCTCTATATTGATTATCTATTCTTCAGATGCAGTGTTTATATTTGTAAATTATAAATATATATTTATATTTTTATTGATACAAATTATAAATATATATATTTATATATACATAGAGCGAGAGATATTTGTGTGTATATTTTTGCATACCTGTGTACATCTGAATACAGTAATAAACAAATTATGAAAATATATGAGTGGCTGTGCTTTGCAAGATACCTCCATCCTATCAGAATACTCTGTTACTCTTAACCCCACCGATAATATGTAAATACACTCAACCATTTGTTTGTTTATCGCCAAAAAACAAAAACTGTGAAAATTAGTTCAATATTCAGAAAGTTAAAGTTGATTCTGTGCCTGCTCAACACATAGCTGTCGACCGCCCCAAGATGGCGCCACTCTAACAGGTGAAAGCGATCGATGGTTCAAACCTCCCTGCCTATAGACCAAGCAGTTCCCCTCTACACCAGAGGTGGCAGCAGTGATACCATCATGTGGGATGTCCTGCTGTGACACTTTATTTTACAGGAATTAATTATTCACAACAACATATTACAACCAAAGAGGTTTAATGCAGACTCTGTTCTCTCTGATTAATTAGTTTTAATGGTTTATGGAGTAAAGTTTGGTTCTCTAGTCATCTAGGAGTTTTCTATGTAGTTAAAGGTAAAGAACAACTGTTTCAGTCATTTAATGTGTATAATAATTAGAACCATAGATTAATTTAAACAGCATTTGTATATAAAATGTTTCTACTTTTAATAGCAATGCCTTCAGAACATCTGGTCTGTCTTAAATGATTTATTCTGAAAATCTAGATATTGTGCTTCAGTCATTTTCAGGTTGGTTCATGGTGATCAGTAGGCTATGCACTGCAAAAACGATCTAGAAAGAAGTAAAATTGTCTTAAAATAAGTGTATTTTCTCTTGATTTCAGCAGGAAAATAAGATGATTTGCCAATGGAATAAGGATTTTTACTCTTAAAATAAGGTAACACTTGAAATAAGACAATGCAATAGTTTTTTTCTTATTTTAAATGTAAATTGTCTTCTTCCAGTGGCAAAGTGTCTCACTACCAGTTCCTTTAAATCAAAACTAAAAACACATTTGTTTAAGATTGCCTTCGACTGCTCTACTTAAACAGTTCAAATAAAACATCATTAGTAAACTTTTTTATTTTCTTTAGTCCAACTGTTTTTAATATATATATATATATATTTTTTGTTTCTGCAGTTTTTTATTTTATTTTATTTATTTTTTTCTACTTTCTTTGAATTTGTTTTATTTTCCTATATTTTATTCATGTAAAGCACTTTGCATTGTCTTTGTAATGAATTGTGCTATACAAATAAATTTGCCTTGCCTTGCCACCTCAATTGAAGAAAAAAAAAAACACTTTTTTTTAAGAAAAAATGACTTATCTAGATTTAGATTGTTTCCACTGCAGGTTGACCCTGAGCTGTGTTTGGTGCCTATTAGTTTTTCATGGGTCCCTGCCCCCCTATAATTTCTTTCTGGAACTGCCACTGGATGAATGATGGGTTTGTTGATATTGGGAGCATAAATCATAACCTCCTGATTTTCAGCTGCATGGATTAGATTAGTGATCTGTATAATCAAGCTGTGGTGTAAGATGTCAGTAAGGTAGACATCACACTGCAAAAACATCATAGAAATAAGTACAAATGTCTTAAATTAAGCATATTAACCCTTAATTTGAGCAGGTAAATAAGATGATCTGCCAATCGAATGAGTATTTTTACTCTTAAAATAAGGTAATTAGATAATATGCACTTGAAATAGGACAATACGATTGTTTTTTCTTAATTTAAAATGTAAATTGTTTTCTTGAATTGAGAAGATTAGTGCTACACTTTCCCAATAGAACAAGATAAACACTTATTTTAAGAAAAAATGACTTATTTAGATTTACATTTTTTTGCAGTGCAAGATAGAGTCGAATGAGGAAAACAATCCTCTTTTCAGTCCTTCTGCACGTATTTTTTAATTCCAAATAAATGCAAGAATCATAGAGTT